AAATGTAGGCAGAAATAAAGATATTCTTCAAAACCAATGAGAACAAAGACACAACATAACAGAATCTCTGGGACACATTTAAAGCAGTGTCTAGAGGAAAATATATAGCAATGAATGCCCACATGAGAAGCAATGAAAGATCTAAAATTGATAGCCTACCCTCAAAATTTAAAGAGCTACAGGAGCAAGATCAAAAAAACTCAAGCTAGCAGAAGACAAGAAATAAGCTCAGAACTGAAGGAGACAGAGACACAAAAAATCCTTCAAAAAATCAATAAATCCAGGAGCTGTTTTTTTGAAAAGATCAACAAAATAGACCACTAGCCAGATAATAAAAAAGAAAAGAGAGAAGAATCAAATAGATGCAATAAAAAACGATAAAGGGGGTATCACCACAGATTCCACAGAAATACAAACCATCATCAGAGAATACTATAAACAACTCTATGCACATAAACCAGTAAACCTGGAAGAAATGGATAAATTCCTGGACACTTGCGTCCTCCTAAGCCTAAACCAGGAAGAAGCTGAAACCTCGAATAGACCAATAACAAGGGCTGAAGTTGAGGCAGCAATTAATAGCCTAGCCACCAAAAACAAACCCAGGTCCAGATGGGTTCACAGCCAAATTCTACCAGACATACAAAGAGGAGCTGGTACTACTCCTTCTGAAACATTCCAAACAATTCAAAAAGAAGGAATCCTTCCCAAATCATTTTATGAGACCAACATCATCCTGATACCAAAACCTGGCAGAGACTCAGCAAGAAAAGAAAACTTGAGGCTAATATCCATGATGAACATTGATGCAAAAATCTTCAGTAAAATACTGGCAAACCAATTGCAACAGCACATCAAAAAGCTTATCCACTGTGATCAAGTAGGATTCATCCTGGGGATGCAAGGCTGGTTCAACATACACAAGTCGATAAATGTAATTCACCACATAAACAGAACCAAAGACAAAAACCACATGATAATTGATGCAGAGAAGTCCTTTGACAAAATTCAACAGCACTTTATGCTAAAAACTCTCAATAAACTAGGTATTGATGGAACATATCTCAAAATAATAAAAGCTATTTACGACAAACCCACAGCCAATATCATACTGGATGGGCAAAAATTGGAAGCATTCCCTTTGAAATCTGGCACTAGACAAAGATGCCCTCTCTCACCACTCCTATTCACTATAGTATTGGAAGATCTAGCCAAAGCAATCAGGCACAAAAAAGAAATAAAGGGTATTCAATTAGGAAAGGAGGAAGTCAAATTGTCTCTATTTGCAGACGACATGATTGTATATTTAGAAGACCCCATTGTCTCAGCCTAAAATCTCCTGAAACTGATAAGCAACTTCAGCAAAGTCTCAGGATACAAAATCGATGTGCAAAAATCACAAGCATTCTTATACACCAATAACAGACTTGAGAGCCAAATCAAGAGCGAACTGCCATTCACAAATGCTATGAAGAGAATAAAATACCTAGGAATACAACTAACAAAGAATGTAAAGGACCTTTTCAAGGAGAACTACAAACCACTGCTTGAGGAAATAAGAGAGGACACAAACAGATGGAGAAACATTCCATGCTCATGGTTAGGAAGAATCAATATCATGAAAATGGCCATACTGCCCAAAGTAATTTATAGATTCAACGCTATCCCCATCAAACTACCAATGACTTTCTTCACAGCACTGGAAAAAAAAAACACTTTAAATTTCATATGGAATGAAAAGAGAACCCATATAGCCAAGTCAATTCTAAGCAAAAAGAACAAAGCTGGAGGCATCATGCTAGCTGACTTCAAACTATACCACAAGGCTACAGTAATCAAAACAGCATGGTACTGTTACCAAACAGAGACACAGACCAATGGAACTGAACAGATGCCTCAGAGGCAACCCCACACATTTACAACCATCTGATCCTTGACAAACCTGACAAAAACAAGCAATGGGGAAAGGATTCCCTGTTTAAAAAATGGTGTTGGGAAAACCGGCTAGCCATGTGCAGAAAGCAGAAACTGGACCCCTTCCTGACACCTTACACTAACATTAACTCCAGATGGATTAAAGACTTAAACATAAGACCTAACACCATAAAACCCTAGAAGAGAACCTAGGCAAAACCATTCCTGACCTAGGCATAGGCAAGGACTTCATGACCAAAACACCAAAAGCATTGGCAACAAAAGCCAAAATAGACAAATGGGGCCTAATCAAACTCCACAGCTTCTGCATGGCAAAAGAAACCGTCATTAGAGTGACTTGGCAACCAACAGAATGGGAAAAAAATTGTTGCAGTTTACTCATCTGACAAAGGGCTGATATCCAGAATTTACAAAGAACTAAAAGAGATTTACAAGAAAAAAACAAGCCCATTCAAAAGTGGGCAAAGGATATGAACAGACACTTTACAAAAGAAGACATACATGAGGCCAACAAACGTGAAAAAATGCTCATCATCACTGGTCATTAGAGAAATGCAAATCAAAACTACATTGAGATACCATCTCACGCCAGTTAGAATGGCGATCATTAAAAAATGCTGGAGAGGATGTGGAGAAATAGGAACACTTTTACACTGCTGATGGGAGTTTAAATTAGTTCAACCATTGTGGAAGACAGTGTGACGATTCCTCAAGGACCTTGATATAGAAATTCCATTTGCCCCAGCAATCCCATTACTGGGTATATATCCAAAGGACTATAAATCATTCTACTATAAGGACACATACACACAAATGTTCATTGCAGCACTGTTTACAATAGCAAAGACTTGGAACCAACCCAAATGCCCATTGATGATAGACTGGACAGGGAAAATGTGGCACATATAAACCATGGAATATTATGCAGCAATCAAAAATGATGAGTTTGTGTCCTTGTAGGGACATGGATGAATCTGGAGAACATCATTCTCAGCAAACTGACACAAGAACAGAAAATCAAACACCGCATGTTCTCACTCATAGGCAGGTGTTGAACCATGAGAACACATGGACACAGGGAGTGGAGCATCACACACTGAGGACTGTGATGGAACTAGGTGAGGAACAGCAGTAGGTGGGGAGTTGGGGAGGGATAACATGGGGAGAAATGCCAGAATATAGGTGATAGGGAGGAAGGCAGCAAACCACATTGCCATTATTGTACCTATGTAACAGTCTTGCATGTTCTTCACATGTTCCCCAAAACCTAAAACGCAATAAAATATATATTAGAAAAAAAAACTGCTGTGGCTAAAACAGCTGCCCAGTTTTGTGCTGGAAACCCAGGGCGCTGGTTGTTGTAGGCACCAGAGGGAAATCTCCTGGTCTGTGGGTTGTGAAGGCCATGGGAAAAGTGCAATATTTGAGCCAGAGGGCCAAAGTCTTGGGAAACGTTTCTAAAGTATCCCTTGGCTAGGAGAGGAAGTTCTCCTGCCCCTTGCTCTTCCCATGTGAGGCAATGCCCCACCCTGCTTTGGCGTGCCCTCCTTGGGCTGCATCTACTGTCTAACCAGTCCCAATGTGCTAAACCTGGTACCTTAGTTGGAAATGCAGAGATCACTCGCCTTCTGGCTCACTCTTGCTGAGAACAGCAGACTGGAGCTGTTACCTATTTGGCCAACTTTAACTCATTTACATTTTACCCATTTGGTTTCTTAACCTTGCTGGTCTGTTTTCAACCAGGTCAGGACTAGTCAATGTTACAATCAAACCAGAACTAATCCCACACACATACATAGTGGCAGAAATAAAATCTCTTTTGACTATTTTCATTAATACTTCTTTGCTTAAATCTTTAACAGAAAATTTAAATATTTGGTTTAGAGCCTCCAATTAATATACAGAAAATCTGGGCTTTGAGGCAATTTTAGAGAATAATCCTGCTTAATGGCAAAAGAATAACATAAGGTCTTTACAAATACTCTTACATATATTATCTGACTTGATCTTTACCAAAACTCTATGAGGTAGTTGAAGAAGATGGTGAAATATCTCTTTTTAAATGAAGAAATTGAGGCTCAAATAGATGTAGGTGACTTGTCTAGGATTCCATGACGATAAGCAGCCAAGATGAGATTTAGATCTGTTTGGGAATTGCATGCTGATGGTACACTTTTGTGATTCACTGAATCGATCTCAGTCATTCTGGATATTTTGGCAAAATTAATGTATTTATCTTAGGAATACTTAAGCTTCCTACTGTCAATAACATTTTGATGTTCTCCTCTGTTGAAGTCTTGTCTTTATTTTTAAATTACAAACTCCTCTGTCTATTGTAGACTTAACGATGAAAATCTGGGCACATTATTGCTTCAGGGGATATCCACTCAACCCAAGCATTCAAATACCAGTCATGGCTACTCTGGTTTAGGCAGATTTGAGAAGGCATCAGTCAATTCATAGATGCTCCAATGAAGACACAATTGAAGCATCTAATAAATCCTGCCTTCATGCCTCATCTTCATTGTTAAGCATTTGTTTTTGTTTTTCCTTTCCATTTTCAGGGCGATAGTGATCATCTAACCTGCAAAATGAAGGTCTGGAGTAGTCAATGGTGATTGTTCTTTTTGCCCCATCATGGATTTAACCATTTTGTTTATTTTACTGATTTTGGGAAATTGATAGATTGGAAACATCAGAGTCATTGGTCATCAGTAAGTGGTATAATCAAAATTATAAAGCAGTTTTGTTACAGACTTAAATTCTTCTTCAGCGAAGTAATAATAGGGTTAGGGGTGTGTGTGTGTGTAGTAAGTCCTCACTTAACATGGTCTGTAGGTTCTTGGAAACAGCAACTTTAAGTCAAATGAAGTGTTCAAACTGGTCCTCCACAAGGTAGTTTCATTCAATTTCATTTTGCTACAACATTGATGAGCTAAAAGTTGGTCTTGTTATAGGTGTTTCAAGACCAACTTCAAGTTGTTAAAGTAGCAGTTTCCAAGAATCTATGGACAAATGAGGACTTACTGTGTATATACACACACAATATACAGGCACATACATAGTTATATATGTGGATACATATTTATTCTTTTTTACTCGAGTTAACATTTAATATCTTTGTCACAGGAAGGTTGACAATATAAAACTTCCTATGTATGAAAACTCAAAAATAACAAAACTAAGTGGCAAGGAGCCTTTGAGAAGTAAAAGAACAGTACAATGTTTATTAACAAGTTTCTTCCTGGATTTTCTTCAATTTTTTTAAATACACAGAAAAGCTTTTTGGTACTTAGATTGCTGTTTTCTGTTGTTAATGTTGTTAACATGCATATCATTGCATTTATGGATAGTAGTAGATTGGATATATACATGAAATCAACATCTAGGTTTGGCTGCCCTCTGAGTGCTTACAGATGGCATGTTCGCTTATTAGCAAGCTTAATCACAGCTCCGTCAACTAATAACTTCATTTCATCTGCGGTATTTCCAATCTGTAAATCTGGTTGGCACAAGTTGTTTCTACCATATTTTAAATCACTAGAACGACTTTGCCTTAATGCCCATGGGTTGTCAGCTCTGAGGGGCCAAGACCAAGTTTTGCTTACCTTTGTGTATATAGCATGGGACTTGCCCAGAGAGGTACTCAGCAGTCTTGCTGAGCAGAACTGTCCTCAATGGAGAAAAGAGGAGAAAGCAAGCCTTTACTGAAGACTGCCCCTATTCGGGCCAAATTCCATTTTAAATGGAATATATATATATACATTTAAGCCCCAAATGTAGACCAGTACACCCTTCTGGAGTAGTTTCTGACTAGTCATTTGGTAGATCATTCCTGTCATTCACAGGCTCAGTCTCATCTCTATTTGAGACGGAGTTTCACTCTTGTTGCCCAGGCTGGAGTGCAATGGTGCAATCTCGGCTCACTGCAACCTCTGCCTCCCAGGTTCAAGCGATTCTCCTACCTCAGCCTCCCAAGTAGCTGGGATTACAGGCATGTGCCACCATGCCTGACTAGTTTTTTGTATTTTTAGTAGAGATGTGGTTTCTCCATGTTTTTCAGGCTGGTCTCAAACTCCTGACCTCAAGTGATCTGCCCTCCTTGGCCTCCCAAAGTATTGCAATTTCAGGCGTGAACCACTGCACCTGGCCTATTTTTTGTATCTTGATTCAAGTTCTCTGTCCTCTAATAATGGAAGAAATAGACACATAACTAGTTATTTTGAGTAAAAGGGAGCTATTTAAAAGATCGATACTTTAAAAGCTTAAATGAAATGTTACAGGTAATTTATGATTATTTTCTTTCTATGAATATTCTTTAATTGAGGAAGGCAGTTTCTCAGGAAGAGCACAGGGGTTCTCTTTCACAACTGAAAGCTTGTGTTTTTTTCTTATCAAAATTCTTACTTTGAGTTTTACAAAATCGATGGTTGTTTTGCATTTCACCTAGTGGCTTATTCAATGCTTTGTTTTTCTGCTAAATTTTAACCTTCAAATCTTGAATTGATTTCTTAATTGCTATTTATACTTCAGGAATCTTAAGAAAGATGGCTTGACCCACTCAGAAGGGACAAGTAGTTAATTTTCTTCCATGGCAAGTATTAGGAGAGCTGTCATGACCATGTCATAGCTTCCTAGTGATACAGAATTAGTAAGACTTCTGTGATATATACATATGTGACTTGTTACATATCATAGCAATTGTATGATAGGAACAATGTAAACAGCTTCTCCTTACAGTTGACCATAAGCATCATTGCATTCCAGTGTCTGAAGGGCTTCCTAAGTCCTGGTGCCATCCAAAAAGCACACCAAAAAAACAAACAAACAAAAAAAACCTCTAAATCAACTCCCTGTTAACTGTGCCCTGCCACAGCACACACAAATGTTTATAAAAATATTGAAAGGATATTCTCACAAAAAAAGCAAAGCCTGAGTTTACAGAATAAGTATCAAGTACATGCAAAAAAGCTTTCGTTTCACCCGTATATAAATGGCTCTAGAGAAAGATACATGAAAAAACTACTGACTACATAACACAGTCTTTGTGGCACTTCACTGGGAGTAGGGAGGAAATAAATAGTTCATAGTTAGGGTCAGTTCTCTGTCCCATAGTCTAAACATGGAGATCTTACAGTGTTAAAAGACAGTAAACATCCAGGTGTCTTTCCAGATAACTTCCTGAGAGTCAGAGCTTTCTTCAGAGTTTCTCATCTTGCTCCTTCTGAAAGCCAAGGTATCCTCAGTTTCCTCAGCCTGAAGTCAGCCATCCTGAAACACAAATTGGAACCTATTGCATGGGTGGATCTCATGTAACAAAATAGGAGTGTTCCCAGAAAGTGGTTTTTCTGATGAATTTGAGGGAATATCTGAAATGATCAGTACCTTGTAGTCTCAGGATTTAGTGGGAATTAGGAGATCATGTAGGTAGCTGGGTAAGTGGCTCACACCTATAATCTCAGCACCTTGGGAGGCTGAGGTGGGAGGGTCACTTGAGGCCAGGAGTTCAAGAACAGCTGGTAAACATAGCAAGACCCTCTCTCTACAAAAAATAAAAACTAGCTGGGTGTTGTGGCACATGCCTGTAGGCCCAGCTACTTGGGAGGCTGAGATGGGAGGATCGCTTGAGCCCAGGAGCTCGAGGCTGTGGTGAGCTATGACCACCGCACTCCTGCCTGGGGGACAGAGTGAGATCTTGTCCAGGAGAAAGAGGTTGGGAAGAGAGAAAGGCCAGGGGAGAAAGAAAGGTGAGGGAGATAAAGGGGAGAGAGACGGGGGAGAGAGAGATCATGTAGTTCACCCAGCACATGAACTCTTAAAGACTAAAGATACAGAGTCCAACTAGGATGTTAACCTTAAAGGGTGTACCACAAATCATTAGTGCCTCAAAATGATTCTTGTTAAAAGGTTTTCCTCTAAGAAATCCACAGTGTAAATTAGTACGTGAGGGCACTGAGAAAAATCTGTTTAAAAAAAAATGTACATAGAGAAGTATACATTCTATATATGTATATATGTATGACTATATATGTTTATTACATATATTCATAAACATATTCCATTTTATGTAATCAGCATTTCCCAACTCTTTTTATGATAAATATTTGTTGACTAGGTTTAATAGAGCAGAAGATAAAGGAAAACAAAAGAAGAAGTTCAAAGGAAACACATGTATTCTTACTGCCAAGAGAGTAATCTTGACTGGTTCTGACATGCAGGGGCTTGGTGGCCATTGGTGAGATGACGTACACTGCCACAGAAAATGTTCACACCCTTATATTTTAAAATGAGTGTAAATCCTGGAACTCCACTGGAGGAAATACACAGATTACAAACACAACTACCTTTTCTGCCTTCTAGTTTTTAACTGTAGGACTCATAAACATCATCTGATACTAAATAATAAATGTGTAAGTCATTGCTCCTAATCCCAATCATTGGTCTTACCTGGCAGAAAAAAATGTGAAAACTCTTTTAGCTACATATTCAACTCCTGGGTATAATTTTGTCACTTTTTTTTTTCCTTCTTTGCTTATTTCCTAAACAGGGCAAACATCTCATTTGTTACTGATTTGAATGGTCCTGAGACAATATACTATATATATGCATTTCATACAAGGGCATACTTCCTTCATTCATTAGCACAGATAAAATTAAATACTTGTGCTCAGCGAACCATCCCTGTGCTTTAGGAGATAAGAACATGGCCAGGCGTGGTGGCTAATGTTTGTAATCCCAGCATTCTGGGAGGTCAAGGCGAGTGGATTACCTGAGGTCAGGAATGTAAGGCCGGTTGCCTTGCCTGGAGTCAAACGGACACATTCATCACTCTCCGCGCCTGATAACTGCGTCATCACCCAAGCTCATTATCTGGCCTTGCCACATGGCTTCCCCCCGCACCCGTCTCTGCATATCATACCCAAGCCCACACTCAGCACTAAATTATGCATTCAACCTCCAGCCCGCTGTTAAAAAACCCTGCAGAAAAATTTTTTAAAGAAGCCCCACCATACCCTGCCCGACAACAGCCTGCCCTGTAAGCCCCCAGCAGGCCCTTACCCAATGTCCCACCCACCTACCAATGACAGCTAGTATCATGTACTTCCTACTTTAACTCCATGTACTTCCTGCTCCTCAACAGCCAATAGAAATGCCTTCTTTGTTTCCCCAATACCCAGTCAATTGCCTGCCCTCCCCATAAAACTCCATGCCCTGAACAGCCAGGCGTGACTTCTCTGGCCCCACCCTGGACCACAGAACCTCACCTGGGAGCTGAATAAATTAGCTTCTCACTTTCTTATACTTGCCTCAGTTTCCTCACTTTTACCTTGGCAATAAATTTTACAAGGAGTTCAAAACCAGCCTGGCCAATGTGATAAAACTCTGTCTCTACTAAAAATACAAAAATTAGCCAGGCATGGTGGCACATGCCTCTAGTCCCAGCTACTTAGGAGGCTGAGGCAGGAGAATCGCTCAAACCCAGGATGCGGAGGCTGCAGTAAGCCAAGATTGTGTCACCAGGCTGCACTCCAGCCAGGGTGACAGAGCAAGACTCCATCTCAGAACACACACACACACACACACACACACACAAAACAGAGAGAGATAAGAACACTGAAAGGATAAGAGAACATTTGAATATAAAAGTTGAATTTCCAGGGAACAAAATTATTTTTTGAAAAAACACAGATATTTGTTTACATTTCCTTACAGAGAATAATGATAAAAAAAAAAATCTTACCTATGTAATTGTCTTATAGCCAACAGGCTGTGAATTTCTCTTAACTCAGAGGCCAATAGTGGTGAGCTCATGACCAATTTCACTATTTGTTAAACAAAAGCAGGTTCTCCTCTGAATTCAGAGATGCCCATGAGGTGGGTGCCACCCAAAGCACTCTGGTAGTCATCCTAGCATCTACCTGGAGAAGCTCTTTTCCTGAGATTCCAGGGGCAGCTATAGCACCCATGGAAACAGCCTCTGCAGGCCAAGTTGGTGTACGGGGTGTCTATCTACAGGCTGAGTTGGCGTATGGGGTGTCTAGCACAGAGAATCCAGAAAATCACCTTGCACAATGATTCTTTGCTTTTTTGGATCACATACCCCCATGAGAATCTGTTTAATGCATTGACTCCTCTCCCCAAAAATGAGCATATTTCTACATATAATTTTATACAAAGTATAAAGTGCTGTCATGAACCCCCTAAAGCCATTAAATAGACCTCAGGTTAAGAGTTGTTGGCACCAAATCATGATCTTTCTCTTATTCCCATTTATATTCCCAGCTTGAACTGTGCTAGGCCAGTAAACGAAGTGGGAGGATAGGACTGGTAACAGTTGCCAAGATGATTGGTGGGGGAAATGTTAACAATAAAGTGGATATTGCAAATCCAAAGAGACAGAAAATAAATTAGTTGGCTGCCTAGGGCTGGAGTGAGGTCGGGGAGAGTGACTGCTCCTGGGTAGAGGATTTCTTTCTGGAATAATGAAAATTCTAAAATTAGATTGTAGTGATGGTTGCACAACTTTGTGAGTATACTAAAAGGATATTACATTGTATACTTTCAAATGGGTCAGTTTCATGGCATGTGAATTACATCTCAAAGCTATTTTTAAAAGTTGATGCTATTAGAAACAAAAAAGTATTCCAGCAGAAACTTAAAATAAACCTTGCATGACTAGAGATAATGTGTAGCCTCCTTATGCGTTGCCTTCAATGAGGAAAGAACTAGGGGGATTTTGGGTTAAAGGTCATTGGAGTTTTTCTCATGATGGGAAACTTAGGGAGACGTGTGTTTAAGTCTCCTGAAGAGTGGAATGTGGAGGACCACCCATAAGACCAAAGAGCACTGGCTTGATCCAGTAGGATCTCTGCCTAACCCAATATTCTGTTTATGAGAATGATTCCACAGGGCGGCAGTGGCTGTCCTCCATGACATTGCTTTAAAAGTTAGGAATATGATGCCAATTTTCTCAAATCCTTTTTCTTAATACACTGTAGACTGTTAACTAATACATTTCTCTAACTCCATCTTGAATCAATTTTTATGTCAGCATACTCTAACAAATTCCATCTGCATCCCCGTTTGCTTTGCATGATTTATCTGTAATTCTCATGCAGAGGCAGAGCCTGGTTTATAGATCCTTGAGGGCCCCATGTCTCTGATTCTTACCACCCCCTTTTCCATGATACTGTCAAATGCCTCTTTTAAGTAGAGTCAAAACTGTGCGATTCTCCATTATCTAAAAGTCTTTTGCTTCCACTGCCTTTCTTGAGTTTGAGCCTTGGTTCTAGCTTGGAAAACCAGGCTGATTTGTATCATGTACAGGTATCTTGGATATATAGTCATGGGTTCCTGGGGTATATCATTTCAGTACACAGGCATGACAGCCTTCATTAGGTTTGAGAACTTGCTCTGGTCCAAGTTTTTACATGATGAAACTGAGATCCAGGAAGAAGAAACATATGCCCAGGGTCACATAGCAATCCAGTGGCAAGACTAAAATGATACACATCTCATTCCCACCCAACCTGCTTCAGATCTACCAGGTTGCTTCCCACACCCTCTGTAATGCTCATCTCAGCACTTTCAGCCTCCTTCTGGTTTTATTTGTGGGGTGACCTGGCACTTACCTCACCATCCTGTCTGGTCTCTTCTTCTTCATCCTGGTCAGGTTCGAACTCCGTGCCCCGGTCTACAACATCCACACCAGCATGCACCCTGGGCTTCTCATTTTCCCATTTGGCAAAGCCTTTGTCCTTTGCTGCTTTGTCATGGAACTTGGACTTCATTTTGGGGAAGGTGTGGGACCCTGAGTCCCCCCACCCAGCCTCTGACCAGACAGGTTCAGTCTGGGTAGCCTGGCTGGTGGTGGCCCTCTGTAGCCTCACGGAGATCTTGCGAGAAGAGCCTGTAACCAGTGTGATGGCTCTGCTGTCTAAATCCCTATGTCCAGCAGTGACTCCGGGAAATTCAAACACCTCATCCTGGACTGGAAGTGAAAGAGGATGGTGATTATTTAGCATCTGACTGCTTGACAGCAAACAAGCACGAGTCTGGCATGCAAGGTCCTAGAGGAACCAACTGGGGACAGAATTCAATTAGCTGCAGGCAGGTTACATGTTCCTGAGACTGGAAAGCAAAGAGATGCAAGAATGATTCAAGGGTTTAGCTACTGCTGTTCCCCCTAAAGAAAGCCTTAGCATTTAGAGTGACTAACCGGGTTTAGATCCAGAACCTAAATGAGGTCCAAGCAGAGAGACACCATGGCAACAAAGAAAGCAGAGGGCATTACCTGGGGGCAGCGAGGGGCTTCCAGGCAGTGACCCATGCCCACTTCCCAAGGAGGGCGCCCGGGTAAATCTCCTGCAGGCCAGAACCAGGAGGTCTTTACACTGTTTGTGGCAATTGGCTCCACAGTCTGAAAAATTCCAAGGGTGTGGAAGATGATTAGTGTGTCTGCTGTTGATTGAGTTTCCAGGGTGGCACTTGTCAGCCCTCCCCTCCCCCGTCCCAGTTTCTGTGTTGAATTTCAGTCACCCACAGGCCCACGGGGTGTGTCCAGGGTTTGGAAAGGGGCCATCGGTCCGCACTTGCCTTCCTGAAGTTCCAAAAGTTCTCTTATATTTGCTCAGCTTGGTTCTCTATGTAACTGAGGACCTAACAAGCAATTGAGCCTAGGGAGCAAATGGAGTCCGGCCTGAGAGGTCAGTTGCCTTTGCCCAAAACTAAATGCAAATCAAATGGGGTTGGGATTCTTTCCCAGGCTTAGATGGAATCCCCACAAAGACAGCCTCAGCCAGGATGATGGCAAGAAGCCTCAGCTTCCAGTCTCTCCCAGGCCAACTGCTGCCCCTGATCATTGACGGTGAGCTGTTCCTCCATTCAGCACTTGTCTAGATATTTTTACTCTTCTTCATTTTCCAAAAACCTTTCAGGGCCAATGATTATATCTTCTGCTTCCTTTCTTTGTATAGAAACAAAATAGAAGATGGGCATATGCTCAGTAAATATGGTCTATGTGTGCTTATGGCTTTGAAACGGCAGGCAGCAGAGTCTGTGAAATTACCCATTAGGATGTTTTAGATCAGGCAGTAGAATGTTAATTACTACTTGGGATAGAAAAATGTGGCACTTCAGATGGTGATTCAGAATTATTACCTATGATGAGGGTCCTACACTTCACTGAGCATCATTGAATAGACATGGTCATTTCTCTCCTACCATGAAAGAGGATCTTTCTAACTATTTCCAGTACCCATTTTCCCCTAAGTGGTCTTGTTTCAAATAGTCTTAATGTTCGGTCTATTTTAATTAGTTTTTATTTTTTTTTTACTTTATGTGCCATTAAGAGAATACAAGAGATAATCTAAAGGTTTAATAGATTTTCATCTTTATAAAATTGTGTGTGTGTGTGTGTGTGTGTGTGTGTGTGTGTGTGTGTGTGTTTTAGGGTATGGGGATAGAAACCAGAGTAAAACTAATGACTCATTGCTGGGCAATAAGATCTTGCAGTATCTTTGCTGCTTGAAAGTCAAAATCTAAGTTAGACCAAGACAAGCGATAGAGAAGCACTAACGGAAAGGTCCCTCTGAGCACTAAACAGTAGCTTCCATTGAGGTTCGGGAAGTTTTCTGTTCATGCAAAATGAGGACCAAATACTGCAAAATAACTGGAGAAAAAAAGGCATCCCAGGGGAATAACATTCATCTGAAGGCATTCTGTGATTAAGATGTTTTTATTTATAGTTTTATTATATTTTTCAATAGCATTAGAAGATTCTTAAAAGAACTGTATAAATCGTCTGCATAAAGTGTCCAGCAACTTCCTAAACAATGTGTACTTAATCATACATGTACAAGTAGCAACACATTCCTGAATTCTTAATGTACATGCATATTGCATTTGTCAGTTTGTCAAATTTATAAACAATTGATTCAATTGTTTATTAACTTAATTAAATTGGAAAAATAGAGGAATGCATTCATTGAAAAGGACAAAAATATGTTTTAGTTTTCTCTTTTTTTGTCACCATCTATGTGATTTGGTAGAGAAAGGAATAGCTAAGTATGGATTACAGAAATGGTGTGGAGGTTTTTTTCTTTGGAAAAAAAAGTTTTTATATACAATATTTTAGCTAGGCTTGTCCCACTTCAGAATTCCCACCTGAACTGGATGCTGCTGATTCAAAAGAACTAGATTTGTGTGTTGAGAAGAGTGGTTTGTAACAAACTATAAAATTCCAACTCTGGCTCTCCAAAACTCCAGAAACTCCTCCTCAGAGGCAATCACTCTCAGTTGCCATTGACCCAAAAGACTGAAATTCTCAATGATGCCAAGAGCTTTTGTAGTTTAACCAGACAAATTTGATTCTTACCCAAAATGTCAAATTTTTAAAAATGTTAACAAAATAAGATTGATTTACCTTTGCATTTGTATCCTTGCTTGATTATGCCCCAGAGCTGTAACAAAAGACAAAGGAATGTCAGAGAATCTGAGGATAGATCTGGAAGGAAAACAAGGCCACTGAGAGGGAAGTGCTGGGAAGCTTCATGACTGGCCAGGCACAAACAGGATGTCGCCACTCTTAACACCCTTCCTGCCAGATAGAAGAACCCTCTACGAGGGTGGTGATAACATGAGTTTCACTTCCCCTTTCTTTCTCAGAGCCAACTGGGAGCCAGGATGGGAGACGACTAATGTTTGATCCTCAGACTTTGGCATGGTGCGCTCCCAGCAAAATGTACGGAGGCGATGGCCACTTGGTCTTTGGGAGTCCCTAGCTCCCTCTTTTTAATGACACTAGTTGCCGTTGGTGCCCACCACAGGAAATAGAGCAATGGAAGAAGCGCAGCGCACCTCACATGAAAATACTTGGATTATGCTAGGTTATTTTCTGCGTAGTTTTTGTCCCGTGGAAAAATACAGAAGAGGAAATGATCTTAGTTATTCATGTCTTCATTCTCCACATTGGCTCTATGTCTGGCCTGTGCCAGGGCTGTAGGGAGATGTCGAGAAAACTCAGAATCTGCCAACCAAGGAGTCTGTGACTTCTTCGTGGTTAACAAGTAGGAAGTGACCAGTGCGGGAGGGGAGATGTGAAGGCCTGCAGTTCCACGAGGGAGCGTTTGCCTGGGAGGTTCAGGGGCACATCCTGGTGGTGGTGTCATCTTTCGCCAGACAGACTCCTTCTAAACACCATGAAGAAGAGAGCCCTTCCCATGCCCTTCCTGTGTCTCCCCACAGCTCTTTCACAGGTGATAGAGATAGCAGAGGTGTATAGTATGGGTCATTAAATGGGCTTAGCTCAAGTTGGAGAACTATTGCTAACCTTCTCATATTTGGGTTAGGTGGCTATTATCTTGAAAAAAGCAGGGCCCACTGGGACTGAAGGGGGTGCTGTTCTCCTGTCCATAGTGTATTATAAGCAAACAATGCCCCTCCTTTTCCAGAAGAGTACGTCACCGCCAATGTGAAGTGACTTAAGAGTCCAGGAAGATGGCTCCTTACCTCTTCTTGACAAGGAACTTCCACAAGTAGAAAACTCAAAGATTCCTTTGAGCCTTAACAGCTATTTGCTCCTTTGGAATACATATTGAAATGCAAATGTCTCCAAGGACAGAAGAATATTTTGTCTTGGGTACAGGAAGGTTTATATGACAACTAAGTAGAAGCAAGGGTGGCTGGAAGAGAGAGGGGCATGCTCCCAAAAAGGGCAGTGGTGGCCAGGATCATCACAGCGTGATCTTTATGATAATCTAGTTTGCTTCTCTTTTGTAAAAGGTGAATGTGATGATCCAGGAAGTTAGATAATTTGCAGTCTCCCACAACCTGGAAATTCTTTCTCCAGAGCCCTTGGTAATGATAGTAGTGATAATAATGATGAGAGCTAACATTTCTTGAACTCTTGCTATGTGAGAGGCACAGCTTTAGGCTCTTTATACATATTAACTTATGTAATTGTTCATGATGTCCTTATGGTATAGGTAATAATAATTTTCTTTTCTTTTTTTTTTTTTTTTGACAAAGTCTTGCTCTGTTGCCCAGGCTGGAGTGTAGTGGGGCAATCTCAGCTCACTGCAACCTCCACCTCCTGAGTTCCAGTGATTCTCCTGCCTCAGCCTCCCTAGTAGCTGGGACCACAGGCACAAGCCACCATACCCGGCTAATTTTTGTATTTTTAGTAGAGACGGGGTTTCACCATGTTGGCCAGGCTGGTCTCAAACTCCTGACCTCAGGTGATCCACTTGCCTCGGCCTCCCAAAGTGCTGGGATTACAGGCGTGAGCCACTGCTCACAGCCTTTTCAATTTTACAGATGAAGGGACTGACCTACTGAGAGGTGAAGTCCCTTGGCAAGGTCTCATAGCTAGTGAGGGAAAGATGAATATATTACTTAAGGAAAAGACAGGAAGCCATAGCTCCTGTATACTTTGTGTGTGAGCAAAGACATTGAGGTGGGACAAGAAAGGATAAGATTTAAGAAGAGACATCCTAATATCCAGATATGTTACATTATTAGCATAGCTGCAGGAACTGGTGAAAGATAGTCAAGCAAGAGGGGTGCAGGTGGGGGTGGGGAGGAAGACACGGTTTGCTAATGCTTACTTAACTAGGAATAAACAGTAGCTAGAAAGAGGCACTGGGTCAGTGTGCCAGCCAAAGACAGTAGAGGATGATGCCATGTGGATGGGTTTGCAGGTGCATTTCCCACAGTCCTTTGATTTGAGACCACTGGCTGCTGTAATATTTGGAGTAACTGTGGTGTAAGGAGCTCTGGACTGAGAGTCAGGAGACCTGTGTGTGACTCACAGTTTTGCTGCTAATGATCTGTGTGTGACCTTGGGGGAAGTCACTTAACTTCTCCAGACCTGAGTTTCTTCATCTACAAAATAAGGGAATTACTAACACTCTTTCAGTTCTAGAATTCTAATTCTAAAATAAATCTTCTGCAGAGCAAGTCTGTTTGTCTTCCTTAACCTTAAAATGGAATTTATTTTAAAAAACAGATGGTTCTGGCACTGGAACCATTTTCACACAATTCCTTTCAACAACACATCTATAGAACTATAGTTACGAATTCCTTTGAAAACCAATGGATTTTTTGAGGGGGGGACAGAGTTTCACTCTTGTTGCCCAGGCTGGAGTGCAATGGTGTGATCTCAGCTCACTGCAACATCTGCTTCCCGGGTTCAAGTGATTCTCCTGCCTCAGCCTCCCAAGTATCTGGGATTACAGGCATGTGCCACCATACCCGGCTAATTTTGTATTTTTAGTAGAGACGGGGTTTCTCCACGTTGGTCAGGCTGGTCTTGAACTCCCGACCTCAGGTGATCTGCCCGCCTCGGCCTCCCAAAGCGCTGGGATTACAGGCGTGAGCCACCATGCCCAGCCACCAATGGACTCTTTAACATGAGTGTCGGTAAAGATCAAATCAAATTGTACCAATAAAATTGAATATATTTTAAAAATAAAAAGAGCTGTAAATATTTCAAATGACTTAATTTCAATTAAACTCTCAAAGAATCAAGGAATACATAAAAAATGTGTACTCCAAGCCGTGTGACTTGCAACATGTCTAAATAGTATTTTATCATGCAACAACTTGGTGGGTAAGTATTAACTCCCTTTTACAGATAGAAATAGACCCAAAGATGGTGAATAACTTGATCAAGGATCTAGAGTTAGCAAGGGAAAAACAGAAATTTAACCCAAGTTCCAGACTCCAGGACCAGAGCTTTCTCCTGCATCACAGCTTCATCAAGATGTAGCACCAGCATCTCTGCTCCAATGAGTCAGGGAGACAGGTGTCCAGCTCCCAAGAAAGTCTACCTTCTGTTCCTACAGAACCAGGGCCTCTATAGAGGGACAGGACAGAAGGACTAGAGAGCAGAGATAAGACCTTGAGTTTTTTTTTTTTTAATTATATTTAGAGATGGTGGGGGGCAGGCAGGTTTCTCTATGTTGCTCAGGCTGGAGTCAAACTCTTGGGCTCAAGCTATCCTCCTGCCTCAACCTCCCAAGTACCCAGAACTACAGGTCCATGCTATAGCACCTGAGACCTTGAGATTTGATAAGCGCCTTCTGACTCTCACAGCCCACCCAAAAGACAGATGTATTATCCTGACTTTTGGCTGAGCCATGCCATGGCCCAACAGCCTGACCTTTTGTTCACTGGGTCCCACTCTGTAGGAGTGTGTTACACATGACCCCATACCACACCAGAATTTTCAGGTCTATGTATTTCCAAAAATTTCCATCAGAATAGAGAAACATGAAAAAGGAGACCATTTGTTTTATGATAGAATGGTCTGGTCATGCAATCCCAGTGGAGATGCTAAAGAACTTCACCTTCTCTGCGATGAATAGAGAGCTAGTTAGACTGGCTTTGCCCTGTGCCACATCAGCTGCTGTGACCACCTGGGGCCATCTTTGAGGTAACAACTGCCTCTTATTTACCCATTCCCAGAGAGTGTGTGCTTGAACACAGACTCCTACCTTGGGCTCCCCAAAGCCAGTTATTTGAGGACGGGATGGGGAAAATGTAATTTCTGGTAGCATATAATATCAGCAACAAATTCAGTATGGGTCAGTGAGTCCACAGGGGGACATGGCTGCCAAATGAAGCTAACACAACTGAGCTCTGGCATCTAGAAAAAGGGACAATTGTCTTACTCATCTGGGTGCTGGGCCTCCTTCACCTGGAATGCCGCATTTTCCATTTTATTTAACTTGAATATCAACTGGAAGACATTCAGGGCTCAAGCGTTTATGTTAAGGCCAGGATCAAAAACTGGCCTCAGTTCCCAAAGAATTATCAAAGGTAGGGGAAGGAAGCACACAGTCTTCATTTGTTGCAGTGGTATAGGTGAAGCACAGGGCTGAGAGTCGATACACCTGTGCCGGGGTCCAAGCTCTGGTAATGATTACCTGTGCAATCCTCAGGAACTTGGGTTATCTCCTCTGAACCTCTTTATCTTCATAAGCAAGATGGCAAATGTAAAATACCCACTTGAAGGGTTTGCAATGAAGATTAGTTACCCTAATGTCTACGGGAGTACTTTATTACCATCCAGCATTGCGTAAATGTTATTTATTATTATAACCAGCTTCTCTCCAAGAAGACTTTTTTTTTCGTTTTTGAGTTGTGAATTATTGAACCATGCCCTGATGGATTTCTGGTCACTAATACCACATGAAATGAAAACTGGAAGGAACTGGCTAAGATAAATGCACCTCTTAATTGCAACCACTTAGGAATATTAGTGATGAATGCCAGGGCTCACTGGGCTGACACTTTTCCCTGGCAGGGATTAATAGACACCACTCTCTTGAGTTAACAGCCCTCGACAACCTTCCCTGTTTGTGTTAGCCCTGCATTCCTAGAAAATAATGAAACCCAAAGATCTTGCTTTGGGTGTTCAATCTTTACTTTCAGGGAACCACCTTGTTTTACTTGTGATTCAAAGCAGACAGTGGACTTTATTTAGCGTATCATTTTCTTACCTTTTCAGAATGCTACACAAATAACTACATGCATAAGAAAACAACGGAAAACAGACTTACAAATCCTGCACAGTGCTCGCAGAAGGTTGGCTTGAGATAGGTCATCTCCTGAAAATTATGGATGAATCCTGGTCCCATTTTACAGTGTAGTTGGGATTTAGCTCTCAGGAAGTAAGCCATCATTTCATCTTTACTAATCAGACCATCCCTGTTAAAAGAATCAAAGAAGCGGGGAGGTGTCTTTGAATACCAGGTTGCTAAGTAGTTGACATACTCTTTTTTTTTTTTTTGAGATGGAATCTCGCTCCTGTTGCACAGCGTGGTGTGTAGTGGTGTGATCTTGGCTCACTGCAACCTCCACCTCCTGGGTTCAAGTGATTCTACTTCCTTAGCCTCCCAAGTAGCTGGGATTACAGTCGTGTGCCACCTGTCCAGTTAATTTTTGTATTTTTAATAGAGACGGTTTCACCATGTTGGCCAGGCTGGTCTTGAACTCCTGACGTCAGGTGATCCACCCACCTCAGCCTCCCAAAGTGCTGGGATTACAGGTGTGAGCCACCAGGTGCAGCCACAGTTGTCACACTTTAATCACCCACTTCCCAAACCTTTGTGGCCAAAAGCAGATGAAGAATGTTCACTTCTCTATTCCATCTCAGAGAAGGGGAGAACCGTAAAAGGCGTATTCAGGTGTTCAAAGCCTTTTTCAGTAAGCAGAAAATTGCATATGTGCACCCATGTGTGTGTGTGTGTGTGAGCGCACACGCACGTGCGCGGGAGCATATTCATATGAGCATACATGTGGCCTGTGCTCGGCAGCACAGAAAGTCTTCTTTATTATGAACAGCAGTTTCCCAAAGGACATCATTCTAGTCCTTGCCTAGCTGTAGGGCTGCAAGAATTAGGATGCTGGAGAAAGGCGGAAAACTATAATAATTGGGCTGACCATTCTCAAATTCATTCAGCTTGACGCTGTCTGGGCTGCTACTCCATTGACGATGTTTTCACTCACATCTTAGTGGCTGACAGCCCATTTGCTGTGACTGGCTGGGAACAATTCTTCCAGATCTACTCCACACAGAGCAAACCTCTGGTTCTTCCCACCTTCCTACCCCTACTTACCACATACACTTACTTCTTGTTTATCAAAAATTATCAAATCAGCTGGGTACGGTGTCTCATGCCTGTAATCCTAGCACTTTGGAAGGCCGATGTGGGCGGATCACTTGAGGTCAGGAGTTCAAGACCAGCCTGACCCCCAACTCTACCAAATATACAAAAATTAGCTGGGTGTGGTGGCGTGTAACTGTAATGCTGTAATCCAGCTACTCAGGAAGCTGAGGCAGGAGGCAGAGGTTGCAGTGAGCTGAGATCGCACTACACTCCTGCCTGGACGACAGAATGAGACTCTGTCTCAAAAACAAAAGTGATTGGATTCACTTGACACAGGTGAGCTCCAGACTGCTTCTCTGTCCATCAGCATGTGCTGGCGATCACACCTTTCCTTTCCAGTTCAGAATTCTCTTCTACCTCCTCTGTCCTATCTTGGGGCCCGTCTCTCAGAGGACGGGCTGCCCCATCCAGCACTCTCCAGCCTCCCCGGGACTCTGCTTCTTCCAGGTTCTCAGTCTCTTCCCTGTTTTTCCTCCGTTCACAAATATGCTCAAGACTTCCTCACCTGAAAAATATCCTTCCTCAGTCCTGCTGCCATCTCTAACAGGTGTCATTTCTCTCATCTTTCTTTTACTCCCAAAGTTTTCAAAAAGAGTATTCATTAGGCTCCTCTATCATTTCCTCCAGCTACTCTTTATGCCTCTTGGGTTTCTAACCCTACCAATCTGTCACCAAGGACATCCTCAGTGGCCTTTTCTCATTGGCAGGAGGTAACACAGAGACATATTTCCTTCTTTTGGCACACTCCCCTTAGAGACCCTGGAATTGCATGCCACCCTGCTTCTCCTCCTTCCTCTCCAGCTCCCTCTTCTCCAGCTCGCCTGCAGGGCCCACTGATTCTTTTCAGTGTCTGCATGTGGGAGGGTAGTCCCTGAAGGCTTATTCCTCAGGCCCCAAGCTCACCACCTTCTAAGCGTTCCACCAGAGTGTGCTCACAAGATCAGGACTCCAGCTTGCAGTGGGGTTAAAGACTTCATCTCCATCTCCAGTCCTGACTGTTGTCCTGAATTTTTGTACCACATCTTCAATAGCTTGCTGGACCTCTCTTCCTGATGATCCACTCTGTCTCAATCAATGTATTTAAGTTCAGCTTCATCTCTCTCTTCCCCATACTCCCTGCCCAGGCTTCCTTCCCTATTGCTGTTTGCTGTGCCACGATTTTCCCCCAGGCTTGAGAATTTAAGATCCCTTTCTTACCTCCGATGCAAAGTAACTGATTATTATACATTATAAGTATTATTATTAAAGTTATTTTGCATAGGAGTTAAGAAAGGGATCTTAAATAATCAAACCTGGGGATAAATCATGGCATAACCTAGTACCCAACAGTTATTTTTTCTGCTCCTCCCATCCTCCACCATCAAGGAGGGCAGTGTCTTTATTCATTTCTCTGTGTTCATGAGTTCTCATCATTTAGTTCCCACTTACAAGTGAAAATGTGTGGTAGTTGGTTTTCTCTTCCTGCATTAGTTTGCTAAGGATAATAGCCTCCACTTCCATCCATCTTCCTGCAAAAGACATAATCTTGTTCTTTTTTATGACTATATAATATTCCATGGTATATCTATACCACATTTTCTTTATCCAATCTGTTATTGGTGGGTATTTAGGTTGATAACGTGTCTTTGATATTTGAATAGTGCTACAATGAACATTCACATGCCTGTGTCTTTATGGTAGAATGATTTCCATTCCTTTGGGTATATGTCCAGTAATGAGATTGCTGGGTTGAAGTGTAGTTCTGTTTTTAGCTGCATGAGGAATTGCAATACTGCTTTCCACAATGGTTGAATGAATTTATACTCTAACAGTATATAAATGTTCCCTTTCCTCTGCAACCTCGCAAGCACCTGTTATTTTTTGACTTTTTAAATAATAGCCATTCTTGGCTGGGTGAAGTGCCTCATTCCTGGGATCCCAGAACTTTGGGAGACCAAGACAGGTGGATCACCTGAGGATAGCAATTCAAGATGAGCCTGGCTAACATGATGAAGCATCATCTCTACTAAAAAAAAGAAAAAAATTTGCTTGTCATGATGGCACATGCCTGTAATCCCAGCTTCTCGGGAGGCTGAGGCATGATAATCACTTGAACCCAGGAGGCCGAGATTACTGTGAGCTGAGATTGTGCCACTGCACTCCAGCTTGGGTGAAAGAGCGAGACTGTCTCAAAAAAAAAAAAAAAAATAGTATCCATTCTGACTGGTGCGAGATGGTATCTCATTGCAGTTTTGATTTGCATTTCACTTTTTTGCATATGTTTATTGGCATGTATGTGTTCTTTAGAAAAGTATCCATTTGTGTCCTTTGCCCACTCAAAGGAATGGGCATAGATTTCATAATGAAGACACCAAAAACAATCCTTGTCATATATACGAGATAAATAAATTTATTAATGCACTGTCTCACAAATTCATCACATAATTTACTACATACATTTGTGTAACAGTGCATTAGCCCATCACTCCTCCTAGGGACTCACAATGTAACATACTTTAGCCTATACAAAGTCTGGGAAGTCACACAGTAAAGACATCTATTTAATGAGATTTAATCCTCTGTTTCTCACATGTGACTAGTCAGTTCCTTTTTCAAAAGCACTAATTAACAGCTACTTCTGTTAATCGTTCAGAAAACACCTTTTTGAGATCTTTCCAGTATTAACCATTCAAAACTTCAGTGTCATGTAAGCGAGATGAATAGTTCAAACCTTCATTCATAGAAAACAATTCTATAGATATCAATAAGATGATATGTATGATATTATATGGTAATGGTCGATATAGAGATGATGATATAGAGATAGAGATAGATGTAGATATTTGCTGCGACAATCTCAATTCTGTCTCTAGAACCAACAGATAAAAGAAATGAAGACTGGGAAGTTATTTTAAGTCAATGTCCTATTTACATGTCACTGATAGTAATAAACTAAGTGAAGAAGTGGGTAGTTAGCAGGCAATTTAAATTTTACTTTGTAAAGGAAGTTTATGTTTCTAGTATAATTTATTTTAAAAGTATTCTTTGTTCTGGGTATATATTGAAGATGAATTTAGGATTTTAAGTTATATTAATGTGTCAAGACTTTTCTTGGTGTGTTGAATTATAGATTTTATTTTTTTAAATTAATTGAAAAAAAAAATTGTCTGTTAGAGACAGGGTCCCACTATGTTGCCCAGGCGGGTCTCAAACTCCTGTCCTCAAATAATCTTCCTACCTCAACCTCCCAAAATGCTGGGATTACAGGTGTAAGCTACCACATCTGGCCCCAAATTTCATTTTTTAAAAATACTCATAACAGCAAAAATATGAGAGGATTTTAATGTAATTTAATTTGCCCATTTTACCAAAACAAAATCCAGTGTTTCCTTACAGGTGATTTTTAAATTAGGAATAAATCTTGCACAAGTAACAATCAAATTAATGCCAGGATTTCTCAGCAATTTCTTAAAATTTTTATTATTTTTTTAATAAGTTGGGTTTTAGTCTCTAAAGCCATTTGATTTTTAGGAATCATTTGATGCTAAAAACAAACATTTTTTCTTTGTTTATCAAGACAACCTTTGATCAATCAAAGAAAAAAACAGAGTATTAATGCTTCTTGGCTATCTGCAGCTATCATGCTTTCATGAAGACTATAAATAATTTTTTTTTTTTTGAGACAGAGTCTTGCTCAGTCACCCAGGCTGAAGTGCAATGGTGCTATCTCAGCTCACTGCAACCTCTGCCTCTCAGGCTCAAGGGATTCTCCTGCCTTAGCCACCCAGGCAGCTGGGATTACAGACATGCAACACCACGCCAGTGAATTTTTATATTTTTAGTAGAGATGGGGTTTGGCCATGTTGGCCAGGATGGTCTTGAACTCCTGGCCTCAAGTGATCTGCCCACCTCAGCTTCCCAAAGTGCTGGGTTTACAAGCATGAGCCACCATGACCAGCCAATTTTTTTTTTAATCTTCATGAGTTTTAAGATTGCTTTCCACTTTGGGAGGCCGAGGCAGGTGGATCATGAGGTCAAGAGATCGAGACCATCTTGGTCAACATGGTGAGACCCCGTCTCTACTAAAGATACAAAAAATTAGCTGGGCATGGTGGCGCATGCCTATAATCCCAGCTACTCGGGAGGCTGAGGCAGGAGAATTGCCTGAACCCAGGAGGCGGAGGTTGTGGTGAGCCGAGATTGCGCCACTGCACTCCAGCCTGGGTCACAAGAGCGAAACTCCGTCTCAAAAAAAAAAAAAAAGATTGCTTTCGGGCCCACTAATGCTGAGGACTCTCCCAGGCTAGACCTAACTATATTTCTCCTCTACTCTTTTTTTGGTTGAGAGCTAAGCAATAAAAACAATATAGCAAATGGTGCACTTGGATCATTTACAAATGTGCACTTGTGCTCAACACTGACAACACGGTCTGCCCGGTGATTCCATTCAGGTCACAAGTAAATAATCAGTGACAAATTAGACCTGGCTCATCAAAGCACTAGGGTTGAAGCCGTCAAGCTTCTCCTTCTCTCCTCTGATAATAATTTTCTGCTTTAGGGTAGTTGCATTAAAATAAAACAAAATTAAAACTTACTGATCTTTGTCCAGCACACAGAAGGAATCCAAGAAGGGGAAATTGGCAGCTATACTTTCAAAGTCCTCTTGAGAGATGTACCCATCATGGTCATGATCATAGTTTCTAAATACAGACTGCAAAGGAAAGATAAGTATTTATTTATTATTATTTTTTGAGACAGAGTCTCACTGTCACCCAGGCTGGAGTGCAGTGACGCAATCTCACCTCACTGCAACCTCTGCCTCCTGGGTTCAAGCGATTCTCCTGCCTCAGCCTCCCGAGTAGCTGGGACTACAGGTATGTGCCACCACGTCTGGCTAATTTTTTGTATTTTTCGTAGAGATGGGGTTTCACCATGGTAGCCAGGCTGTTCTTGATCTCCTGACCTCGTGGTCTGCCCATCTCAGCCTCCCAAAGTGCTGGGATTACAAACATGAGCCACCGCCCGAGATAAGTATTTATTGAATGACTGTGAAGTAGGCTCTGAACTTGTTATTGTGAAAGCAATGATAATTAGCATATGATCCTTTCTATCAAGGAGTTTATAATCTAGTGAAAGATAACTAAGTCAATAGGCCTTTGTAATATAATAAGATAAGTAGTTTGTTGAGGATAAAAACAGAGTAATGGTTGGGTGTGTTGGCTCACCCCTGTAATCCCAGCACTTTGGGAGTTGGAGGCAGAGGTTGGAAGATCACTTGAGCCCAAGAGTTTGAGACCAGCCTGGGCAACATAGAGAGGCCTTATTGCTACATTTTTTTTTTTTAATTAGTTGGGCATGGTGGTGCATGCCTGTAGTCCCAGCCACTTGTGAGGGTAAGGCAGGAGGCTTGCTTAGCCCAGGAGTTTGAGGTTACAAGGAGCCAAGATCACACCACTGCACTCTAGCCTGGGGAATAGAGCAAGGCATCATCTCTAAAAAATAAATTAAAAATAAAACAGAGGTTGGGCATAGTAGCTCACACCTATAAATAATCCCAGCACTTTGGGAGGCCAAAGCTGATGGGTCACCTGAGGTCAGGAGTTTGAGCCCACCCTGACAAACATGGTGAAACCCCATCCCACCTCTCCTAAAAAAAAAAAAAAATTAGCTGGATGTGGTGGCACATGCCTACAATCCCAGCTATTCAGGAAGCTGAGGCACAAGAATTGCTTGAATCTGAAAGGAGGAGGTTACAGTAAGCAGAGATCGTGCTATTGCACTTCAGCCTGGGCAACAAGCGTGAAACTCCGTCTCAATCAATCAATCAATAAAATAGTCTTATCAGTGAGGGGAAAAGAGGAGGTAGATTAAGAAAGGTTTCCTGGGAAAAGCAAGGTTTAAACCAAAACCTCAGGGTTGAGTAGGAATTGGCTTAGTGAATTTACAAATTCCAACACGATGACAATATAAAATAAAGCTTTAAGGTGTTATCTCAACAATTAAAGTGTACATTTAATCCAATTCCAATCAGAATCCCAGTGGGGATTTGTTTTAAATGAACACATTGATTATAAAGTTCAAATCAAAGTAGGTATGTTAAAAGTAAGCAAAAAATTATTTTAAATGAAGATCAATGAGGAGGAACATGTTCTTTCAGAAATCAAATACTCTACACAGCTACATTAATCAAAACAACACGATACAAAATGCCACAGAGAGTGGAGTCCAGAAACATGTCTATATAAAATTTAAAATATTGATAAGTATCTTTTAAAATCCACAGAGAAATTATGGATTATCCAGTAACTGCTGTTGAGTTAAAGGGCTAATATTCTTTTTTTTTTTTCTTTTTTTTTGAGACGGAGTTTCGCTCTTGTTACCCAGGCTGGAGTGCAATGGCGCGATCTCGGCTCACCGCAACCTCCACCTCCTGGGTTCGGGCAATTCTCCCACCTCAGCCTCCTGAGTAGCTGGGACTACAGGCACGTACCACGATGCCCGGCTAATTTTTTGTATTTTTAGTAGTGACGGGGTTTCACCATGTTGACCAGGATGGTCTCGATCTCTTGACCTCATGATCCACCCGCCTCGGCCTCCCAAAGTGCTGGGATTACAGGCTTGAGCCACCGCGCCCGGCCAGGGCTAATATTCTTACAAAATAAATTACCTCCAAACTATACTCTAGATGTATTATATATTATTTGTTTACTTATCTTTTTAGAGACAGAATCACATTCTGTCACCCAGGCTGCAGTGCAGTGGCATGATCATAGCTCACCGCAGCCTCAGACTCTGGGCTCAAGCCATCCGCCTGCATCAGCCTCCCAAAGTGCTGGGATTACAGTCATGAGTCACTGCACTAGTGTATTCTATATTTTAATGCAAAACAACCCCCAAAGCTGCATAAAAGTACCAAAGATAAATAAATGAAAATATTTTTCATGTTTCCTAATCCTGTTGTGAGAAAGGACTTTCTTAGCATGACATCAATGTCGGAAGCCATAAAGAAAAATACTTTATTATTAAAAAATGCAAAATATCTGAACCCAAAAAGTTTAATTAACAAATTTTAAGATAAATGTCAAACAGAGCAAGTTATTTGCAGCATATATGAGAGCTAAGACACAAAAGTCAAACAGGCAATCACCAAATAAAAATACAAATGGCCAATACCTCCATGGAAAGGTATTCAACTCTGCCAATCATTACAGAAACATAAATGAAACTTTTTTAACCTCTCAGATTAAATAAAATCTTAAAATACTGTGATTGATCATTTTCTAGGGTGTGAGACAATAGGTACTCTTGTATCAAGTTAGTGACGGAAATAGCCCCGGTATTTCTGGAAGACAATCAGGAATTTTAAGTGCCTACTCTCTGACACAGCAATTCCTCTTCAAGGAATCTGTTCTAAAGAAATAATTGAACCAAGTTGTGTAAGATATACATGTATGTATGTATGTAGTATGTGTGTGTTAATATATACATAGAGAATAAAGTCAGAAGATAATCTACAAAGTATCAGTGGTTATCCCTGGAGAACAGAACGACCAAGATCTCAAAGTAAAGCTTTTTGTTTTCTACAAATTATGTAATGCTTTAATACTTTCGATGATTCTATCTTCCTTTATAATCAGAGAAAAATAAAAAAGGTTTCCCATTGCCTTCTGCAAAATTAGGTTTTCAAAAAAATTTGTAAATTCTTTCTGCAAACACATGTACACAAATTAATATTTGATTTTGATTCCAGTTTTAATTAATCTTTCTCCCTTTTCCCAGTAGTTTCTATTTATTCTATTTATCAGTGTTGCCCTATGTTGGCAGTTGCTTCAGGAGTATTTTGGGAAGTAGGTAAGGTATAAAGGAAGGCGTTAATTAAAAATATGACTAAAATGAGCCTATCTCAAGCTTTTTCATAGGTAACAGAACTGTGCAAAATCAGAAAACATTCTTTTGTGTGTGTGTGTGAAAATCCCAGTATCATTGCTTAGCTATAATAAAAATAGCTTAAAAGTTAACTATTTTGGAATACCTACTATTTATAGTTTAATATCCACATTTATACTGTTGAGTTGAAGATTTTTTATGGAGTAAAATTCATCAGAAAATCCAGGTCTTTTGTTTGAGTGAACCAATGGTAAGGAATTTGGAGAAAAGGGAAGAGAGAGAAGGTAAGGAAGATGGAATGAGAGAAAGAGAAACTCTCCAAGTGGGCAGAGGCAGTCAGAATAACACTGGGAGAGAGAACAGACCTGACTCCATTTCCTGGCTTCAGACATTCCTGAGCCACAACTCAGTCCTTGCATTCCCTGGGGGCCCCTGGATCCTTTCCTCACCTTCCATTTCCAAGCTGGGTCTGTTATTACCACCGCCTCCACTGGACCTTATCTCCTCAGCCCCTTCTCTCACTAATATTCCTCTCTGCACCAGCACCACCCTTTTCCTTCCTGCCTCACATGCTCCATAAAATTTTTCTTTCAGCGCCTCCTAGTTTCTTGGATTATCTAAGATGTAAGACATTCTTTCCTTTTCTTTAAACATCTTTTCCCAGCCCAAAGCACATTATATCCCAAAGATTCAATTCTGTTGCACCAGCAGATGTACCTACCAATCCATTCAAGTGGACATTTAGTTCAGGATTGCAGTTTCCTCTACCCAAGATGTTTCCGTGTTCCCTGCATTGGCACTTCTGCTCTTTTTTCTACACAGAAAACTCTGACAGAGCCTTGTCCTCCATTCACTTGTCCTCCAAATCACTTGTCCTCCAAGTGATTTTTCTAATCTCAATAACATTGGGCTTCTGTATGGTCAAATTCCAAAACTATACAAAAGGAGAAACTACCCAACTTACAGGATTTCTTTCCTGCCCTTGGGTAACCAATTTATTGGGCATCTTAGTGTGACCCATGTGAGTTTTTTATGAGTGATTCTAATCCCCAATCCCTTGAGCTGTTGACAATGTCAGAGGTGGCAAATGCCTGGGAAAGAGAGGAGCTTAGAGGCGCTGAGAGTAGCTGAGAGTATCTGGGCAAGAGAGAGTAGATGGATGACAAAGGGAAGAGGTCTTTCCGATTGATTCTCCCCAGAGGCCAATGCTAGGTAGTATGAAGTGCCTGCTAAATTGTTCCTACCTGCCAGAGGGCTGTTTTCATGGGTTCCATCAGATTCCTGGACAATCGCAGAATATTCTGGAAAGAGAAGGGGTGTTCTAGTGCCCTCTCTTTATTCTCCCTCATCCACTTACCTCAACTAATTTCCTTATGTGCTTGTTGATGACTGTGGGGTCTGGCTTTGGCATCACCCCTAGTGCCCACTCCAGGGGCACCACAGGCTTGTTGGGTGTCGTAGGGGAGGTAGGCTGCTGATTAAAAAAAAACACATATTTTTCAATTATATTATTATTATTTTGAGACAGGGTCTGGCTCTGTTGCCCAGACCAGAGTGCAGTGGTGTAATTTTGGCTCACTGCACCTTCTGCCTCCTGGGCTCAAGCCATCCTTCCAGCTCAGTGTCCCAAGTAACTAGGACTACAGGTGTGTGCCACCATGCCCGACTAATTTTTGTATTTTTAATGCAGATGGGGTTTCACCATGTTGCACAGGCTATTCTCTAACTCCTGGGCTCAAGCAATTCTCCTGTCTCAGCCTCCCAAAGTGCTGGGATTACAGGCATGGGCTACCACGACTGGCCATGTTTGTCAACATCAACTGGGGCCTTGAGCAACTAGGGCCAGGGATGCTGAGAAGAATGAGTAAGTTTTGTGTATTCATAATACCAGCAGAAACTTACATTTATGTAGCTTTTTTATGTTTTAAATGCTTATAAAACAAGCATCTTTTGTTACTGAAATCTAATCTGTAACTAAAAACCTATTTGGATACTACCTTTTGTTTAATAGCAATTTAAATTCTATTATTTTATTTTTATTATTTACTATTATTCTTCTTTGAGACAGAGTCTCGCTCTGTTGCCCAGGCTGGAGTGCAGTGGTGTGATCTTGGCTCAGTGAAACCTCCACCTCCTGGGTTCAAGCAATTCTCCTGCCTCAGCCTCCCGAGTAGCTGGGATTACAGGCACCCACCATCACGCCAAGCTAATTTTTTTATTTTTAGTAGAAACAGGTTTCACCATGTTGGCCAGGCTGATCTTGAACTCCTGACCTTGTGATATGCCCATGTTGGCCTCCCAAATTACTGAGATTACAAGTGTGAGCCACCACACCCAGCCCTCAATCTCATTATATAATGTTTATTTACTAAGAGTTTGCCATCTATTAAATGAGACACCATCCAATGTGACATCCAAATTCTGAGTTGAATCGATGGTTAGCAGAGAAATTTGTAAATTATCATCAAGATATTTACAATTTTAAATCTAATTTTATGTTGAATGGAACTTTTTTAAAGCCTGAAGGGTCCAAATGATCTTTAACATTAAGATGATTTACTATTCTTTTCCTTTTTTTTTTGGTCCTATTTGTGTTGAGTTCTTAGCAGGAACACAACAAATAGAAGATCAATTATAAAACAGAGTAATGAGAATGACGTTATTCCTCTTTATTAGCCTCTGGTATGAAGACATAATTCTCAAACTGTCAGGGCTAAGCTGTCCCCCCACTGATAAAATGGGAATAAGGTCAATTTTTAAATTCTTCCATTTTAGAACATAAAGCAACACTGTTATAGACAATTACTGTAAATAACAAAAAAATAGTGACTGGCACTGATCCTTAGAGAGAAAATTATACCTACCGATTTAGAATTTCTAGGCTCCAGCACCAGTGACAGTTTGTAAATATCATCTTCAGTGTGATAGAGGTCCAGGGAAAGCTACAACAAAATTAAAAGGGATAAATATGTTGGATTACCTTTAGTTATTTATTTACATTGCTGAATTTTTCAAGTTGAATGTTTAAGTTCACTGTCTAATTTCTACAGTAATTTGAGTAAATGCAGAACAATAAAAAGACGGAATGCAGAGATGGAAATTGAAATTTAAAAGAGAAAACGTTAATATCGTTTATCATCAGTATTGACCAGAACCATCAACTCAATTCCTCAGCAGTATTTACTGAGCAGCTCCCAGATGCTCAGTGCTGAGTGACAGATGAGGGAGACCTGCTGTTTCCAGGCTGGAAGCAAGGACAGATGCAAACAATAAGACTTATAAGTGTAGTAAATGCTGCCTTCAAGGTGGAAATACAGGTACAATTAACTAGGTTCCTATTATTTGAGAGCATTGTGCTAAGTCCTGGTGAGGCAAGCTGATATAAAATAATTTCTTACCCTCCAGGGCCTGATAACTTATTTGAAGCTAAAAAGATGTGTTCATAGCAATAAAAGGCAGTACATGCTGAGTGTGAAGTAGTTGCTCCACTTAAGTGCTCCAGGAATTGGTCAGGAATCAGGGAGGCAGCATAGTAAGTAGAAGAGATCAGAGGCTGTGTAGTCAGTCAGGGCTGGGTTCAAGCATGCAGCCTGCCACTGGCTAGCTCTGTAACGTTTAGCAAGTCATTTCCTCTCTGACACTCAGTTTCTGCATCTGGAAAATGGGAATGATCATAAAAGTCCTTACTGAGTTGGCTGTATATCAGGACCAAACGAAATAATGTATGCAAAGTATTTCACATAGGACCTCAGTAAAATCTCAAGGAATGTTATTGTGTAGTGTTAATGTTACTGTTGTTATTGCATGTGTCATATTATTATGATGATGCATAGGGGCCACTGGAGACTGAAATGATCAGGACAGATTCATGGAGGTCCTTGTGAGCTGCGACTTAACCAGGAGGATTGGGACTTAATTTGGACAAGAGAAAGAGGAAGGTCACTGTAGGCAAGGACAACACAGATCCAGATTGGAGAACATGGATAAAATCTGTAAAGCCTACAATGCATGTTCCTGCTCACCTAAAACAGAAGTCACGAGGCTTAAAATAAGTCTGAACAATTCCTACCCATTCCTTTAAAGCTAGAACACTCGATGAACCACATCACTTTCCTGGCCATGAACATAACCAGTGCTGGCTCCCTTCTTTGATGATGTAGGAAGGAAAAATTTTCTTTAACATATTTTATCTAATATGTGTATGAGAGTGGAGTGAAAGGGAAAAGAAAGGAGGAAGCAAGAGAAAACTCAGAGGCAAAGATGTTTTCAAAGATTCCTTTTCCTGTTCTACTTCTTTTAAAAAAGAAGTTGGCATCATAAAGTTTCATTTTCAAATCATTCATTCAACAAATATTTGTCAGTAATGTACTATGTGCCAGGGACCATTCTAGTCGCTGTTCTAGCAGCAGCTACTTGAATATAACGTTTAAACTAAGGACTTCATAATCAGGTCACATTTCTTTTGGCTGTCTGTACTTTGTCACAGTTTTTTTCTAAACAAAATCAAACTGATTTAACTGTAAAGTTTCCCCAGTATCATTTCAAGATCATGAAAATCTTGCTTACAAAGAAGAGAGATTGTATTTGCCTTCCCCTGAACAGCAATCACTCCTACCTCCCCGACTCTGCCCTTTTATAGGAAAGGAAACATCTACATGTCACCAACAAACGGCTTTAGGAGCCAGCCCATTATATAAAAGAGCAAAGTAGGATGTGCAAAAGGTACATGTTGATAGAGACATTGGTACCAGAGCATCTTTTTTGGAAAACAGTCTTTACAGATGTAATTTATTTAGGGATCTTTCCTCTTTGTGCTATAATAAGAAAAATGTGCGATGATAAATGGGCCCTAACACCTCTCTTTGTGTTAAGGAAGCAACAGGGAGAGGTGTGGTTTGGGATGAACATCACTACCCAGCGATGGCAAATTGCTGCCAGCCTACCAATGGTCCTTGAGTTTCCAGATTTTCTGATTTGTTAGGAGAAGCCAGAAATCTGGAGTTTTAGGTAAACTATCCCAATTTTTAAACACTGGGAACAACAAAAAATTTTATAATTCCATGTGGGCTAAATAAAATACATCAGCCATGGGCAGTTGACTACCATTTTGTAAATCCCACAACAGACAACTCTGCCAGGCTCTACGCCTCGTGAAAGTGGGCAGCACATCTGTCTATTGCACCTCTGTACCCACAGTCCCAGCTTGCAGCCTTGCACTGTGAAGGTCACATAAAAAGAAAACTGAGTGACTCCTTTCTTCTGAACTCCTTATCAGGAGTTAATCCAGACATGGAGGAGCATGTTCCCTTCCTCCTGACTCAGCTTCCAAATCCCGTAATGACTGGCACCAGCATCTGCCCCAGATGACAGCAGCACTATAACGGCCAACCAAAAATCCAAATAAGCCACACACTAAGTCAGGGAGATGCTCTTTCAAAAGAAACAGAACATCCGTGGTATTTCCATGTGTCAAAGAGATAACTGGCTCAGCGATGAAAATGTTCTGGTAGTCTCCGAATATTTGCTCTCTGCTTATTAGTAGTGTGAGCCTGGGCAAGCAATGGATCTTCTGGAGTCTCAGTTTCCTGATCTGTGAAATGGGGATCATAAATAATAGCTGCCTCCCAGGACTGTGGCGAAGATGAAATGAGCGAATGGGTGTCTGACTAGGTTTGTTTAGAAGGTCACAAATAGGAGGCTGAGGCAGGAGAATTGCCTGAACCCAGGAGGCGGAGGTTGCGGTGAGCCGAGATCGCGCCATTGCACTCTAGCCTGGGTAAAAAGAGCGAAACTCCGTCTCAAAAAAAAAAAAAAAAAAAAGAAGGTCACAAATGCAGGGTTTGACTTCCAGTCAGTGCAACAGTCGAATGCCACTGTGCTTATCCATGAATGTAAAGCTGCCCTCGTAAATGTAAAGCTCCTGGCATCTCTTCTTTCCCAACCACGATTCCACTTCCTCTCTCTGATCTCCTCTGGGCTTTATGGACCTGCCTAAAGAGTGATCTGTTCTACTTTCTACACACCTTTTTAATAATATGGGCTGCTTGTCAATGGAATTTCAAGAACATTTGCTTTTGTCCAACATATTTTGAACCTGGCTGTTTTTTTTCTTCTGACAAATGTTCCAGTCCACTATTTTAGGTTGTTGCATTGACCAACCTATCCTTTCAGGAAAGCTGGTTGCAGATTCAGTCTTCATTAGGATCTACATGGGCTCGACTGTTTATCACAAAATAAAACACACCTGGACGTCAGACTGCCTCTACTCACCATTTTTGAAACTCTTCTTATTCTTCTTCTTCTTTTTTAAAAATGAGACTAAAATTAAAAATACAGGGGCTTTCCAGTTATTTGCATGTACTCAAAATGGTAAAAGTAACTGATAGGGCTAAAAATACCATGAAGAGATTCAGACTATTTCATATACCATGCAACAGAAGCATCAGTTTTTAAAACTCCGGGTTACGTGAATTGGGATATAAGGGAAATGTTCTCTCCAGATAGTTCCTGAGAAGAGGAACAATACCAATCCCAACAGTTTGGTGGCATGATCCTCCTTCCCTCAACGCGCCTGGTGCTGTTTTCCAGGGGCCAAGGATACAATGATAAAAATGACAAGCATAGCCCCCACCCTCATAGATTTTGCCTTGCAATTACCTCCTTTACTGCACATCATGAAGAGGGGGAGAGAGCAGTATTAATTTTTACAGACGTGAAATAAAAAATTAGATGTCAGCAGTGCGCTCACAGGAAAGCACAAATGTCCATTTGAGGGGAACCTGGCCCAGGCTGGGATGCAGACGTTTACTCCCTGTCCTTTGTGAATCTCAGTTTCTTTTTTTGTTTGAAAAAAAAAGGAAGGATCAAGGGTTATGTTCCACTTGCTGCCCTGCCCAGGCTGCATGGATGGTGCATGTGAGAATTTACTGAGGAAATATATATGAAAAGTGCTGTGGAAATCATAATCAACTATTACAGAAAGTTAAAGCACTGCCCTGCAGCCTACCACGCAGAGTAGGCGTTTAATAATTGTTGATGAACTTAAGGGTTCTCTTTTTCTGTCCTCCAGGGCTATCTCCATATATAGGTGACCTCACTCGAGCCATGTTTAGATGAAAACAAACACTTTGGATGAAACTTTAGAGTCCCAAAATGAATTGGGATATGAGGGAAATGTTCTTAGAAATAGGCAAAATGAATCACCCTTCTGATGCTGGCGTGTGGGCGCCTTCACATGCATTGGGGCAGCTGTGGTCAGCCATATGGTTCTAATCCAGATGTGTGTGGCTTCATAGAGAACATTGCCCTTATATCCCAAGGGAGAGAAGCCTCCTCGGTCCCCATGTTGAGGACATTAACTCCCCAGGAGTCAGGAAGCATGAATATATACTGCTATGCACTGAACTTTTTTTTTTTTTTGAGATGGAGTCACTCTGCAAGCTCTGCCTCCTGGGTTCAAGCAATTCTCCTGCCTCAGCCTCCTGAGTAGCTGGGGTTACAGGCATGTGCTACCATGCCTGGCTAATTTTTGTATTTTTAGTAGAGACAAGGTTTCACCATGTTGGTCAGGCTGCTCTTGAACTCTTGACATCATGATCTGCCCACCCTGGCCTCCCAAAGTGCTGGGATTACAGGCGTGAGCCACCACACTTGGCCTGCACTAAACTTTCTTCTTAGTTGTGGGGAGAGAGAAAGGATCTTGGCTTGATGTTTGAGGACTCATATACAGGACTGTGCTATTGGGATGCGCTATTGGGCTGGTACTACAGAATCAGGTTGACTCTTGCTTCCTTATATTCAAGGCTCCACCGGTTCTTACATCTAGAATCCTAGAAGTTTAGAGCTGGAAAAGACCTCACAAATGAGCACAAAACAATAATAAAATTATTTTATTTTATTTTATTTTTTGAGATGGAGTTTCGCTCTTGTTACCCAGGCTGGAGTACAAGGGCGCGATCTCGGCTCACTGCAACCTCCGCCTCCTGGGTTCAGGCAATTCTCCTGCCTCAGCCTCCCGAGTAGCTGGGACTACAGGCACGCACCACCATGCCCAGCTAATTTTTTGTATTTTTAGCAGAGACGGAGTTTCACCATGTTGACCAGGATGGTCTTGATCTCTTGACCTCGTGACCCACCCGCCTTGGCCTCCCAAAGTGCTGGGACTACAGGTGTGAGCCACCATGCCCGGCCGACAAAATGATTATTTTAAAAAAGCCAAAGTCAAGGCTGATAGCAAGGAGACAAAGCAAAGGGACTGCAGAGGCAAGGCTGAAAGTAAGGTCTGACATCTAGGATTTTGCCACTACGCTATGCTACCCAACATTGCAGTTACTAAATATGGCGCTTGATGGCTTCTAAGTTTTCCTTCAGTATGAGAGAAAGATTCCTTCCCTGCAAAAAAGAATATTTTTCTTAACCTTTATTTCTAGAGTTTAGATTTTTTTCTTTTGTACTCCTGAAATTTTATTGAAAACCCTTCAATGTTTCTCTAAATATCCCCCACCCCGCTTTATTTTTTTTTATTTTTTTATTTTTTTTGAGACAGAGTTTCCCTCTGCTGCCCAAGCTGGAGTGCAGTGGCACAATCTTGGCTCACTGCAACCTCCATCTCCCAGGTTCAAGCGATTCTCCTGCCTCAGCTTCCCAAGTAGCAGGTGCCACCATGCCTGGCTAATTTTTGTATTTTTAGTTGAGACAGGGTTTCACCATGTTGGTCCAGCTGAGTCTTGAACTCCTGACCTCGTGAGCCACCTGCCTTGGCCTCCCAAAGTGCCGGAATCACAGGCACAAGCCACCACGCTCAGCCTAATGTTACTCTAAAAATCTTTTTGTCATAACGTTTCTTGTTTCAATTATAACTCAAAATTAATCTCCCTACCTCATTATTATCTTTTATCTTTATGAGAAATTGCCCAAGGGTAGGCACCTGCTCTCTGAAGTTATGCATGCTTGACATCGTGGACAGCCTGGACACAGACACAGGAAGCCTAGGCTCCATGTGGAGACCGGTCTGCGGACATCCCTTGTGACCGTGGGTCTGTACTCTGATTGGGGCTGTAACTCTTGTCACTTATTAATGGAAACAGATTTACATGGCAAATGATTAATAAATGCAGGTGTTTAGATTATTGTGAGTTGTGTTTCCCACCCCCAGTAGAGAAAGTCTGTGTGTTTACTATTTATTATAAAAACTAAACTTTAAGAGATCTGTGTTTCTGTGTGTTGGCCACTTCTGCTTTGTTTGAAGGGTATAGCTAGCATTATTGCCTACACTTAGAGGGATATATATCTATATCTAGATATAGATATATATATATTTTTTGAGACGGAGTTTCGCTCTTGTTGCCTGGGCTGGAGTACAATAGCACAATCTCAGCTCACTGCAATCTCTGCCTCCTAGGTTCAAGTGATTCTCCTACCTCAGCCTCCCAAATAGCTGGGACTATAGTTGCATGCCACCACGCCCAGCTAATTTTTGTATTTTCAGTAGAGACGGGTTTTCACCATGTTGGCCAGGATGATCTTGATCTCTTGACCTCGTGATCCACCCACCTCGCCCTCCCAAAGTGCTGGGATTTCAGGCATGGGCCACCACACCCGGGCAGAGTTCTATTCTTTGGTAAACAATTACATGCTCTAGAAATAATTTGTGAGAAGGGTGAGAAAACACACTCTTATTCCAATGTAGCAGTCCTAGGTGATTTAGGATCTCAGAAATTGAGAGGAGTTATTGGTTTCAATTTCCATAGCGATAAAAGGAAAACAGTTAATTCAGTATTGCAGCTGAATTTCGGATGCTACAGTGTTATAAACCCAAACAGGGAAGTTGCAATCTACTTTTGTTTAAGGAAGGGCAAGAGAGAGAATTTGGTTATGCTTCTTCTTCCCACAAAGCAGCAGCCAATGGGAAACATTCTCTTCTATACACCTGTTGTGTCTAAATGTTCTAAGATAGGACCCAGAGACTATCTAAATATGTATGCTACAAATGCCAAAAAAATGTGAGTGGTAGGTGAATTTCTTTTGTCTAAGCCACATCACTCCTAAATACAGCATGCAGTTCATTTATTGAGTTTCTAAATATGCCAGTAACTGTGAGAGGTGCTAGGGATATGATATGTAAGGCAGATAAACAGAAAAAAAAAATTGATTGCAAAGTGACACCTTCTATAGTTAAGGAAAATATAAAGTGCAAGGGCGACATGTGACAGATGCATGACTGCTTTGGAGAGGGGAAGAGAATGCCCCGAAGGACAGGCTTTTAAATTTGAACTCAACACATCAATGGGTAGGGATGGGATTCTCCAAGAAAGTGCAAAGGCCAGGAAGCAGTAGGCAGCATTTCACAGTGGAAAGTACAAGAAGTTCAATATTTCTCAAAGACTGGTGAAATGTGGGAGAGGGTGATGGCAAACAAGGCTGGGCTGATGGTCGGAGAGAGTCTTGAAGAACCTTGAATGCCAGACTGCAAATCACAACCTGGGGGTTTGGGAGGTTCATCATGGGAACAGGAAGATCATGTAGAAGGTCCTTGCACTACTACAGGCTTCAGCCAAAGCAGTGCAATGAGGATAAAGAGGAGCAGATGACTGACTAGAGGACATACAGAAGGAGAATGAGGGCTGAGACAGAGTCTGGAGGAGCCTCTCTAAGAACTCCAGAAGTGGAGCCATCTGGCACAGACTGGGCCCCTCTGAACAAAGACAGATTTTTTTGCCCCAAGATTTGCCAGTTATGGAAAATATTAACCAGGGTTCCTTTTCCCTTGTCCGATGAGATTTCCTCTCATTTATTGACTCTGAAACCAATTTTCCCCCAGAATGACTTGCTGGCACACATCGTCCTATGTCTCCTGCAGAAGAGTTATTAAGCCCAAACTTGGCTCCTTGGAACTCACCGTGAGCAGGTTGATCAAATCCATGTTGGGTTCTAAGTGGTGAGAGGCATTCTGCAAGGAGACTAGTTCACTCAGGGTAACGGAGAGCTGGTGCATTTTCACAATGTTCACTTTGTTTTCCTCCATCCAGTCTGGGAAAATGACATGAACTGCTATCAAGTCTTTCAAGTGTACTCCAAGGATGGGGATTTTGAAGCCATCGCAGTCAGCAAAGGCCTTGCGGTAATTGCAGTAGTTGCCGTTGGAGGAGACCAGCTCTGTCATTTCATTCCAGTTCTGGGAACAGATGGAAAAGTAGAATTTTCAAACAACTTTCCCTTCTGCATACCCCCAGGCCCTGCAATGCATGGCTAGGAAATTCCTCAGCTACTGAGAAAAGTATCACTTGCACCAGCATTGATGCAGGGAAATATGAATCAGGAAAAAAGAAAGTTAAAAAAATGTACTAGGCCTGGCTGTGCCTTGATCAGCCTGTTCCATTTTGTTATAAAACAGAAACAGCCTACAAGTCTGCCTACCTACTAGGATGTTGTGATATTAAATGGCATCGTGTACAGTTAGATGTTTTGGAATATATGAAAATATTACTGTCCACAAATTGAAGCATGTTGAGTATTAAAAATTGTTTAGTTATTCCAAGAAAGTTACATTCCAGATATTACTTGAGGTTAATCTGGGACAGTATGGGGTAGAGAAAGTTGCAATGCGGTGTGAGATAGCTGTGGTTCTGTATTCTGCCTAACTAGAAGAGTAACTTTGAGCAAGTCACTTCAGTTTTTTGGGCCTCAGTTTCTTTCTCTGTTAGAGAAGTTCCCACGTATAATTTAAAAAGATACACTGGTAGTTCTCCAAGCCTCTATAAGCTTCTATCAGATTCTTATTCTTCACAACATTTAAAATTTGGTTTTGCTTTTTCCTTGAGATTTGGTACAAAGCTAAGAGAAAATGAAGTACTTGGGAGGCCGAGGCGGGTGGATCACGAGGTCAAGAGATCGAGACCATCCTGGTCAACATGGCAAAACCCCGTCTCTACTAAAAATACAAAAAATTAGCTGGGCATGGTGGCACGTGCCTGGAATCCCAGCTACTCAGGAGGCTGAGGCAGGAGAATTGCCTGAACCCAGGAGGCAGAGGTTGCGATGAGCCGAGATCACGCCATTGCACTCCAGCCTGGGTAATAAGAGCGAAACTCCACGTCAAAAAAAAAGAAAAGAAAAGAAAATGAAGTACTTATTACATAATAAGTCCCATTCTACTTGGAATGAATAAGAGTATGAGGTCAAACAATGGTACTTCTGTGGCTTACTTCCTCTTATGTGGACAAGTTATCGATGGATACTTCACAGCAACCAGACCTTTTTAGTAGATCCCAATTTTGATTAGTTTACTATCTCCCAAAGCAGCCCATGTGACTCAGACAGAGCTGTTTCCATTTCCAGGACCAAGAATGAGTTCTCATTTATCATCAGTGTAATTGCATCCCTCTAGTTTGTGATTGGTTCAGGAACTCAGGGTTAAGCCAATGAGTACATTATATTCCTCTGGCAACTGTTACTGGTCCAGGGATGGACCTAAGACCTGAGATGGCTCAAGAGGTCTTTAATTGTATGGGTGAAGAGTTGAAGTGAGAAGTCTTCCCTATCTTCAACTTTCATTATTACAAATTATGAACAAGGGAACATAATTTTTTGGTTGCTACAGATAGCCCAATTAGGAGAGAAATCAGTTTGATGAAACAAACAAACAAACAAAACTCCCTGATACTCAGGCAGGCAGAGCACCTGAGTCAGAGCTCTGAACAGACCATGCTGGCTTGTTCTCTAGACTTCCAGGTATGTCCCGCAGGGTGGAGTGCAGTGGTATGAGCATGGTTCACCACAGCCTCAAAATCCTAGGCTCAAGCAAACATTCCACCTCAGCCTCCCAAATAGCTGGACTACAGGCACACACTAATGCACCAGGCTAATTTTTTTTGTGTGTGTAGAGACAGGATCTAGCTATGTTATTTTGGCTGGTGTCCAACTCCTGGCCTCAAGCAAACCTCCCAACTCCACCTCCTAAAGAGCTGAGATTACAGGTGTGAGCCACCACTCCTGACAGATAATACATTTCCTTATTGTTTAATTACTGTAGAAGATTTTTTCTTTTTCTTTTAAACTCACAGCTAGACGTGCCCTGACTGAAACAGCAAAGTGCACTCTTACATGAGAATCTTTTCATAAAGATTCATCCCTATACAATGTTCATTTTTGTTCAAGAAGAAACATGACTATCATGTCATGAAAATAAATATAACAGAAAAGCTCAGTTTGTAAAATGATCACTCTTTTTAATATCTAATATATACTTCTTCATGACAATTCAGCTGTAAATCTGAGGATTTCTATACAGGGCCTATGACTTCCCCTTCTTTCTATCTTCTGATGTGCCCAACACAATGTCATGAATAGTCATTCAGTGACTTTATTTCAGGAGGTAGGGTAGGAACTATTTTTCTTTTTTTTTCTTTTTCTTTTTTTTTTTTTTTTTTGAGACAGAGTTTTGCTCTTGTTGCCCAGGCTGGTGTGCAATGGCAAGATCTCAGCTCACCGCAACCTCCACCTCTTGGGTTCAAGTTATTCTCCTGCCTCAGCCTCCCAAGTAGCTGGGATTACAGGCATGTGCCACCATGCCTGGCTAATTTTGTATTTTTAGTAGAGATGATGTTTCTCCATGTTGGTCAGGCTGGTCTTGAACTCCCAACCTCAGGTGATCCGCCTGCCTCGGCCTCTCAAAGTGCTGGGATTACAGGCCTGAGCCACCATGCCTGGCTATTTCTTATTTACCTTGTGTATCACAGTGCCTATCACATAGCAAGGACCAAATAGGTATCTGTTGAATATTTACCACTACAATACGTTAATGATATGTCAAAGCATTCTTCCTGGGAACTTACCACCACCTCCAACCTGTTTTTCCAGGTGGACTTAGCTGGTGTGGCTACCCTTTCTACTTTGTCCCCATGTATAACCTACCATTGGTTTAAAAGGAAAACTTTCCCACTCTGAGTGACATTTGTTAGGCATATGCTAAACTTGACCAATTTACGAATGCATTTTTTACTTTTGATTAGAATCAAATCTACTATACCTTTGTAACTTCTGAAGAGAGATGAGAATGGGTCTCTTTGAGGCGTGAAATGGAACTATGACTGAGGCCTCCCACCACTGCCATCAGGGTGTTAAAATTTTTGAGCTGAAGGAGCTTCTGCAATTAAAATGCATCAATGCTTTTTAAGGATCTCTGAATTATTCTAAACTTTCTAAATTACAAGTAAATGCATGCACAATTTTAATAACAAGGACCTAAGGAAAAAGATTACATTAATTTAGAAGGATGCACAAATAGAATCAGAGAAATATATCTATTTTATTGCACAGAAAAATAGCTACATTAAATGCTTCTAAGCATTACTTTTTGAAAGCAAATCTTTTTGCATGGTAGAAATATGATTTGTTCATTAGACATCAGCGAGTCCGATGCCCGCATATTGTGATCACCACATTTCCTCAATGACTTTTCTCAGTAAAGTAAATGAACATCTAGAACTCAGGAACCCCAGTCTGATGACCAGACATACCTTTGCAACATTGATAAACTTTGTGATAACATCTGCCCTTTGCTGGGGGGTTGGTTTGCTAAGAACCATCAACTGGACCCACTTAGAGATTCCATTAAATAAAGCAATAGATCTTTCCAAGGTTGGATTATTCTCCAGGCAGCCGTGGATGACATAGCTTTGGTAATCAGTGAACTAGGAAAGGAAGATTCAGAGATTCTGAATTAATGGAGACTTTGTAAAATCAAAAATTAGAATATTGCATAGAAGAGGTGAGATATTATTTCATAACAGAACAATTTATTTCACATTTAAAATGGCATCCTACAAGTTTCAATATACATGTGTCTTTTAAATATCATTTTGCTGCTTTTCAAACCCCACTTCTCATCCTACTCACAGACACCCACTACTATACATCACAGTGTCGGTTAGAGGAGAAAGGGGCAAGATTTAAAGTCTTATTCCAATGAGTTCAAAATTTACTGGTTCATAAGATCCACCTGTGGCACTCAGTAAAATGCTGGTTCCTGGGAACACCCTAGGTATAAACAATCACTGTCTCCAGAAGAAAAACTTAAGAATTTCCAATTTTAACACACTGCTGGTGATTCCAATTCGGCAAGTTAAAGATACAATGGCATCTTAAAGACAGGATATGAACATAAATGTAACGATTTCAAATTAGCATGCGTTGTAAAGTTGTTTCAAGAAAAAGAAGACAGAGGGAAAAAATTCAGTTGAAGCAAGACTGCAAGACAAACATATTTTCAGAATGTTAGCATGGATGTCAAGAAATACATACAAGCTTTCTATCATATAAACAGTGCAGGGGACTCCCTCCCGTGGCCTGCCTGCGGGGAATCGTTAAGGTCCTCTCCAAGTAAGATTACTTAGTGAAAGAATCAGCCTTTCAGAAATTCATGCTTCGAATGTAATTCATTCTCTGACGCCTTGGAAAAGGAGGAGTGACTTCCCCAGAGCTTGGTGAGACAAAGCAAAGTGGCTGGCTGATTGTGAACCAATGTAGAAAATGTTACCATAACAAGAGGATAGAGAGCAGGAGGCTAAGAAATCACAGACCAGAGAAAGAAAAGGGGGAGTTGGGAAGGAATGAGGCTCCTTCAAGATGAGTAGGAAAGAGAAGTTTAATTCAGGATCTCTATCTCTGGGAAAGAAACAACCTGATATTGAGACTCTCCTTATAGTCGACAATTCCTATTTTCAACCTACACCCATAATTAGCCATTTATACAAATCTGAACCTAACTAAATATTTTTTCCCAAAAACGAAGGGCCTAGCAAAACATATTCATTTGGGAGAAGTCAATGGAGCTAAATCAACCTTGAATGGTTAAATCTCCACTGAGTATTTAGAAAAATCATGCTTTAATCCTATGAAAGGAGACATTGAAAATAGCGACAGAAATATAGCTCCTGAGCCATAAAATAAAGACAGAATAATATTTATCTTTGGTTAAAAGGGATTGTTCCTGTGAATTAAGGGCACTTTTCCAACAGAGCACAGTGATAGAAGCTGCCAACACTTCAGAGTATGAAAATGCGGCTCTTGGGAAAGTTGGCATGGTGGTTGTTATCCTTGGAAGAATAAATGTCAAGTTTCTTACTGAGATCCTTCTAAAAGATTTATGCTCCAGAAAAGTGAGGTGCTCAGCCAATTCAATGGGCTCCAGATGGTCAAACAGCAGACAGGCTTTTCCCTTCTTGGATACTTTTTTCCTCTGTGTGACTCTTCTCATCCAGTCATAGGAAGGACTATAAAAGAAGAGTGAGTCCGGTCAATGTGCTGAAAGCCCATTTCACTCAATGGAAGTTATTAACCTACTGACTCTGTAACTCTTGGCTTGCTTCCAGGGGCTTGTGCAAAATACATGCCATCTTTCATATTTGAAGAGAAAACCACTGACCAATTGCCAATAGAACATAAATTTGGAGTTGTTTTTCCAGACAGAGTAAGTTTTGCACTGATCCATCCAGAATCTCTTATTTAGTCTCTTTGTGACCGGCAAGGTCTGGATCATAAAGGAAAGGTTGGGGCTAGTATATGTAAATTTGGGAGTTTATCAGGATATAATTGATGATTTAAGGCACATGGAAACCAGTAGAAGCTGTGGTTCTCACACTTCAGTATAACATGAATTATCTGGAAAGCCTGTTATAAAGACAGGGGCCTGGACCTCACTGCCAGAGGTTCTGATTCATTAGGAATGATCCTAAATAATATGTATTTTCACCAAACATCCCTTATAATTCCTGGATCATTCACTATTGATTACTATTGAAGAAGTATTCAATAGTCATCAACAGTGGAAAACAGAGTAGAATATGAATACCTAAAACACAAGAACATACATTTGCAAGATGTATAACCATATTTAGGATCATCAAATAGTTTTCCCTGTGCAAAGTTACCTAGTTGATGTGAAAGTGGCCTAATTGCACCAGTTACCTAATAACTAAGCTAACCAGCTCCTCACATCTATGATCAACCACCATAAGGTTGTTGTTCTGAGGCCAACCTCAGCAGCACCATGCTACAGAGCTTCTCAAGCTTGCATGTGAATCACTTGGGCATCTTTAAAGTGCAAATTCCAATTCAGGTTTAAGGCAGGGCTTAGAGGCTGCATTCCTAATGAGCTCCCAGGTGACACCAACGCTACTGGTCTGCGGACCACACTTTGAGTAGTGAAGGCATAAGAGACATCAACTAGATTCCAACTCAGTAACTGATACTGAGCATCTATTGTGTGCCAAATGCTTTCATGCGCTATCTTATGTATTTATTGGATGTGCATAGTAATCCTGTGAGAAAGGTACTGTCTGCATTTTGTAAATACAGAAACTGCAGCTTGGAGAGGTGAGTTGTGTCCAATATGGCTTGAGCTCACTGCAGAAAGGCTTTGCTCACAGAAGCAAACCTGGATTCAGGAATGGGATGGACTCAGGACAAGTTGGGTGATTACTACTTCCTCCCCTATAGCAGTGGGCTCATCAAGTATGAAAGACGTTGGTTCCACTCTTACATGCTGGATATGTCGATGAGGCTGACGTGTTTTTCATATCCTAGTTGACTAGCTACTTCCCGGAATTCCTCAGTCATGCGAACCAAACCAAGATCCAAATTAAACTCTGCAGGAAACTTCAGAATCCAGTACCTGAAAGGCATCAAATATTTTTGGCAGCTGGAAGATTTCAAGTTGGATATCTACAGAAACAATTGTACCATTTTACAGACTACATTTAACACCAAACCTGGGACCATCCAGGACCATACTTCAAATTAGCCATCTCCTGTCTCTAAATCCCCATCCATCTCGTGGAGCCTCTCTCTGCCCTTCTTCAATCTAAAACCACTCCCATTCATAGCCCCTCTTTCGGTTGAGAGGAAACCTTTCCTTCAATTAACAAAAGTAGGTGGGAATGCGTGTGGTGAGGGAGTAGAAGAAAATAAATCCACCCTCTCTAAGAGCTAGTTTCATTCCCTAATCACATTTACTATTACTTGATCTCTAGTCCAAAAGATAAAGATCCCCCCACACCACCCAACAGAGGAGGACCAATTTTAACAAAGTTGGTGGGAGGGGTATCACAGTAGATGCTTCTGTCAAACTAGGTCTGCAGCTTGGGGAAAAGGAAATTATCAACAATTCCAGAACTAGAAACTACAAACTGTGCCAGAACCAGAAGGTATAAGAAATGAAATTTGTAAATATATTTACCTCATGAAGTAGCAGATCTTCAATCGAAATTCACTGCAGCTTTCTCCAGTGGCATTTTGATACGTAAGCCAGTTAAAGAAAACATCCTTGCACCTTGTTTCCTTTGCACATACCTGTAGCTGTGTCCTCAATTTATACAAATTCCTAATAAGAGGACCATACTAGGGACATTCAGGTTATATGGACACTCAAATACGGAGATAAGTGGCCTCTGATGACTTCAACACTGAACAATTGAAACCTGAATTAGTTTTGCTTTTATTCACATTTATTAACCAATAACTGCCAACTGTAATTACAAATAGATTGCCAACTATACATAATTCAAATTGACAGCACAGAGAAATGCTACTTTAACCAAAAAGATTTTATATTTAGAATTAATGCCTTATACAGTTATGTATCGCATAATGACATTTCAGTCAATGAAAGACCGCATATATGACATTGAATTGAAAAATTCCCGTTGCCTAGTGACATGGTAGCCAGCATAATGTTGTAACCCAACGTATTACTCATGTGTTTGTGGTGATGATGGTGTAAACCTACTGTTCTGTGAGTCATATAAATATCTAGTATAGTTATGTATAGTATATAATACTTGATAATGAGAATAAATATGTTATTAGTTCATGTACTTACTATACTATTTTTGTTGTAATTTTAGAGTACTCCTTTTACTTCTGTAAAAAAAATTAAAAAGTTAACTGTAAAACAGCTTCAGGCAGGTTACTGCCCCTGAAGACTTCCCAGTGGAACAAGAGATGGAGGTGGAAGACAGTGATATTGATGATCCTGAGCCTGTATAAACCTAAACCTAAGCTAATGCGTGTCTGTGTCTTTGCTTTTAAGTTTAAAAAGTTTTTAAAAATTTAAATGAAAAAAGGTTGTAGAATAAAGGTTAAAAAAATATTTTTATACAGCAGTACAATATGTTTGTGTTCTAAGGTCTTATGACAAAAGGGTTAAAAAGTTTTTAAAGGTTTATAAAGTATAAAAGTTACAGTAAGCTAAGGTTAATTTATTATTGAAGAAAACCAAGTAATTTTTATAATTTGGTGTAGCCTAAGTGTATAATGTCTCTAAAGTCTACAATACTGTAATGTCCTAGGTCTTCACATTCACTCACCACTTACTGACTCACCCAGAGCAGCCTCCAGTCTTACAAGCTCCATTGATGATTAATGCCCTATACAGGTGTACCACTTTTTATTTTTTATACTGTGTTTTTACTGCACCTTTTCTATGTTTATATGCACGATACTCACAATTGTGTTACAATTGCCTATAGAATTCAGCACAGCATCATGTTGTACAGGTTTGTGGCCCAGGATTAATAGGCTGTATCATACAGTCTCGGTGTGTAGTAGGCTACAGCACGTAGGTTTCTGTAAGCACACTCTATGATGTTTGCAAAATCATGAAATCATCTAATGATGAATTTCTCAAAACTTATTCCTATGGTTATGCTATGCGTAACAGTATGGGTACTCTAATTTCTTCTTCAATATTTGAAAATGCCATTTTCAGGTATATTAGTACTCAAGTTGTGTTATTTACTTGTAAGTCTATTTATTCATACTCCTTTTAACAGATATATATTGAGCTTGTGTATATGCCAGGCAATTGATACAGCATGAGCAAGGAATCCAAAGGGAGGAAAGTTTAAAGAAATGTCAATTCATAGGTAGTCTTCGCCTTTCCCACATTAAACATTACTATGCCTAATCATCCCTTTTTATTTGTGTCTCATGAATTGGTGGCCATGCTAAGGGTGAGAATGCTGTTGATAGTACATTCTTTGGACAATGTCTAGATTGTCAGGAGTATGGCCAGACTGAGTCAATGTCCTCCATCCTTACCTATGTTCTACATTTCAACAGTGGACTCATATAACCCTTGGACCACTGGGGACTAGGATCTTGTTCACTTTCACAGACCTCATAGACGCTCTAACATCCCTTTCTGCTCTGAGATTGTGAGGAGGATGAAGAGAAGAAGTAGAAAGTGGAGGAAGCTTGAACTGAACAGGTGGACACCCTACTGGCTCCAGAAGCCTTGGTAGGTCCTAAGAACACTCGATGGCACCTCTCCCTTTAAGGCCTTCCCCTCCCCCTGTAGGGGTTAACACTCATCTCCAGGGCCTCATGGGCTTGAAGAAGGCAAAGACTGCAGGAACCAGCATTAGAGATTATGTAATAAGCATTGTCTCGCAGGGAATAGAACCTTTTACAAATGGGAAACTGCATTTTCAGTCATTTGGCTTTCAACCACTTTTCAGGACTGCATGATGTACAGAAGCAGTAGGCTGCTAAAAGCCCTCATTTTGGAATGGCATTTTTAACCATGGGATTTATGTTTTTGTTTGTATTTCAGAAGAAAATCTAAAATTAGTGTCAGTCAACAAATCATAATAAACCTGCTAGAATGTTCATTTGTCTTGGCAGCAAGGGGAGATGTGAAAACTAAATTGATGTTTAGCCAAGCAACAGCATCTTATTTTGGCTGTATTTCCACATGATTAAGCTGCATCCTCTATGCCCACCATTTTTGTCATCCCAGAATAAATAAATTTGGTCTTGAATCATTGTTAAATATTCTCTCATTGCTCTAACAACAGAAACGTTTAAGACAAGTTAGAAACATCCAGCCTACAGTTCCTGCTTCATTTTACATCTTAGTGATTATCTTCAAGTACAGCCAAAACATCCAGATGGAGAGTCAACTATCTGGTCTATCATCCAGCTATGTTTTGTCTAGACATCTATATATATTCACAAAAGAGCTGGATAACCAAAGACTATTTATTCATCTTAATTTACTGGCTTTGGATAGACACTCTATCTAAATACAAAGCTTGATTTATGATTGTAAAAATTACACAGTAGTTGAAAAGATATATGCAGAGAAGTTTTTCTGCCAATTCAGTGGAAGATAAATACCATCGGTGCATCAGGAGAACTATTCTTGGCAAATAACTGTTATTCAGCTCTCCATTGTCATCTGTTTAAAAAAAATAGAACAAGAAGTGAAGATATCACAGTGCTATTCTCTACTTTTTCTAACATCAATAGAGAAGCATTAGGGTAAAAAACTGTTCATAGAACAATGATCTTTGACTTCCTAGTTCAGCTAGTATTTCCTTGCAAGTAAAAGTAGGTGGGTCTTACCCTTCCTCTAGTCTACAGTTGACAGATTTAATAAATAAAAATACAGGACACCCAGTTAAATTTAAATTTAAGAGAAACAATGATGAATTTCTTCAGTGTAAGTATGTCCCAGGCATTATTTAGGTCACACTTAAACTAAAGATGTTTGTCAGAAATTCAGGTGTAACTGGCCATCCTGTATTTTACCTGGCAAGCTTGCTCTGGTTTAACTCTGGTTTCTATAGTAATTAATTCAATAAATAACTAATCCTCATGTGAGTTGACTTTCTTTGTGCAAGGGATAATCCAGAATTCTGAGGTGGATATGAAAACAACAACACAGCAAGGGTAATCCAGAATTCTGTGGTGGAAATGAAAACACCACCACAAGGAGCATACAGCTGTAAAGTCTATAGTCTAATAGTAGATACAACATGCATGAATGTAGAATGCAGTAAACTGTGCTACTCACATTCATCTGAGACAAAAGAACAAGAAACAATCACAGAGGCATATGCCATGTGCTATCTGGAATTACAATGGGATGTGGGATTTGGGAAGAGGCAAGCAGCATTCCTGATCAAGGAGACTAGGAGTGGTATTATGAACATCTGAGACGGCCCTGAAACAGAATTTCAATGAAAGGAATAAGACCAATGCACGGTGGTAGAAAGGTGCAGGGAATGTTCCAGAAACATTAAGTGGACAGTTGGACTGCAGTACGAGCTGTGGGCAGTAAAGGGAAAGAAATGCGGAGGGCAGTGAAACTAGAGAGACAGACTGGGGTCAATCCAAAAGGCCTTAAATACCAAGGTACAGAGACTGAACTCTGTTTCACAAGCAACTTGCCTCTGAATAGAGGAAAGCGGGAGCATCGAGATACCCAAAAGAGATGAAAGGAGAAACGGATCATACCAAACATCTCAATGCAAGTGCGCAGCAGTTCATCTAATGTTGCTGCTTTCCCAAGGCCACTTGATCCCATGGTTGTTTAACCGTTGTCAAAAAACTAGAGACATTTTCAGCATCAGATAGACCATCTCCATAATCATGTGAATCAGTGACGTTAGTGCCTAGTGGTGAACTCTGTCCTTAGTTGTACTTCAAGAAAACTCTAAAAAAACAAGAGAAAGTTATTAGTCTAGAGTTCAGACCCCATTAGAACATCACTTTCCTACCTGAAAAGATAATGACTTACTCTATTTTTCTACAAGTATCATAGTGATTGAGATTACATGAACCTTTATGATGCCAAAATACCTGCTAAGCTGTTCCTGGGCATGGATGTGCATGGAGACCACAGAAATGTTCCCTGTTATATATCATCCCACTTTGCTGCTGAAATTTTTGGATGCAATATTTTACACTTTCTTCATATCTTTTTTTTTTTTTTTTAGACAGAGTGTCACTTTGTCACCCAGGCAGGAGTGCAGTGGTGTGATCTCAGCTCACTGCAGCCTTGACCTCCTGGGTTCAAACAATTTTCCCACCTATGACCCCAAGTAGCTGGGACTATAGGCACACACCACCAGGTCTGGCTAATTTTTTTTATTTTTTGTAGAGACAGGGTTTTGCCATGTTGCCCAGGCTGGTCTCAAACTCCTGAGCTCCAGTGATCTACCCACCTTGGCCTCTCAAAGTCCTAGGATTACAGGTGTGAGCCACCATGCCTGGCCATCTTTCCTCATATTCTTAAGTGATAAGATACTCAAGAATACTATAAATGTTACTTGGTTACTTTAATATTAATAAAGGATGTGTAAAGAGAAAATTTTTTAATACAAATATATTTATGAACATTATCTTCAGTGATTACATAAATATTAAACAACTATAAAAAATTCTATTTGCCTGAGAATAAGATTATTCTTTGCAGTGGTAAAAATGCTACTGTTAATTTATTTAACACCCACATTATATACTATGTATCATACCAAATGCTTTGGATATATTATCCAACTTGATCTTCACAACAAGGCTATGAAGTAGTAATAATTATTCCCAGTTCACAGGTGAGGTGATGAGATTCACAGAGGTTTGGCAACTTACCCCAATCCATACAATTATGAAGGCCTAGAATCAGGACTCCACTATAAAATAAAGCTGCTGTGTTCCCTTTCTTCTTACTTCCACAAGCATGGATACCACAAACCATCATAATTTTGCCTGCTAAACTAGTGTTAAGGGTATCACTCCTCCACATCATCTCAGAAAAAAGACGTTAGATGATCTGTCACAGAGGTAGAAGGAAAATGTCGGGATAACAGCTATCCCATTTGCCAGCATCGTCATGGGGAAAACGTGATTGGAAATAACCTCTTATAATTGCTTACTCAAAAGCATCGCTGTTGGGTAGACATCATCGCTTTATTTTACACAGCAGGTCCTTGATGCCAGGTCCCCACAGGACTTGAAGCAGGAGGAAGACTGTCATGATGTAAGACATTTATCCGTTTTAGACATTTTAGTAGATAAACGAAGCCATTGAGGAGTCATCTCATAAGCTGTTTAAAGTCAATGTCTATTTTACTCTCAAACTTGATTTATTCAACTGGCAATCATTGAGCACCTGACCTATGCCAGGCACTAGGTTAGGCCCTGAGGCTGCCAAGATGAACAAATCAGTGTCCCATTCTTACCTTCAATGGGTTCATAGTCAACTTCAGAAAACAAATGTGAATGAATAGGAAAAAACACCTAATGACCATATGTATGGTTGTATTCGTTCAGTGAGACCACTGGAGTGACATTGGAATGAGTCTGTTCACCAGGCACATAACTTTGGGAAAAAAATGTTTGCCATCTATTCATTCTGTGAAAGAACAGATTCTTGTGCTGAAGGTACCACTCTTAGAACATAAAATAAAGGGTTATGTCAAGTGTTCAATAAAAACAGCAGAGAAACTGGACACAAGCTCTCCCAATTCTGCTGCTCAAATGATTTGTGAAAGCAGATTATTAAAGTAATCTGAAACTAACTCTCACATCTTTTAACAAAGTTACCTTATCTGTAAGGCCTTTCTTGACCTATTTAAAACAAACGCACCTCTCACCTCACACCCACCTCTCACTTGGCATACCCTACCTCCCTTCCTGGATTTATTTTTCTTTGTAACACTTAACACCATCTGACAAACTACATATTTTACTTGTTTATTTGTTTTTTAATCTCTATAGTGCTATTAACGTAAACTCCAAGACTGTAGAAATTTTTGTTTGTCCTCTGGTACACTGCTTAATGCCTAAGGTTTTGCTTTCACATAAAAGATATTCAAAAATTATTCACTGAATTAATGAATGAGTGCACTAATGGATGAGGAAATGAATGTAATAAAACTTGTCACAGGTTTGTCTTTGAATATGAGTATTTATATGAATGTGTATAGATTTTTTTTTTTTTTAATATGGAGTTTTGCTCTTGTTGCCCAGGCTGGAGTGCAATGGAGTGATCTTGGATCACTGCAACCCCTGCCTTCCAGGTTCAGGCATTGCCTGCCTCAGCCTCCCAAGTTGCTGGGATTATACGCTCCCACCAACACACCCAGGTAATTTTTTGCATTTTTAGTAGAGACAGCGTTTCACTGTGTTGGCTAGGCTGGTCTCAAACTCGTGACCTCAGGCGATCCACCCACCTCAGCCTCCCAAAGTGCTGGGATTACAGGTGTAAGCCCCTATGCTCAGCTGATACCGTATGTTTTTAAGAGACTTTTTAAAAGTTTGTTTACTAGATCAGCTTTAAGTAAACATCACTGGGACAAAAATTTCTGCCAGTTTTCTAAACTTAATAGTATCTGCCTATATTCATTATGAGAACTTGCCTCTTCCACGGCATGTTGGGGTAGAACTTCTCTGATTTCTCTAATGTAAGCTCTATTAGTATCAAGATTGAACAATTAGCAAGTTTGATTTCCTTCATGTGTATACAGTCATTTTTTTTTTTATCGTGTTACTCACTGAACAGTAGACACACTACTTAGAACAAATAGGCCTAGACTAAACTGGTTTCTCAATTCAAAACCAAAATTATTCAGCTGAGTTGTTTGGGGAAGGTGTTGGCGTTCCCATAAGGGAGTAGAGATAACCTGGAAACAAAGACTCATCACCATGTCTAGGGTTATATTTCTGATCTGCAAAGAAACTGGCATGTAATGGACCAGGTGGGCCGGGCTATTGGGTTACAATCTGTTTCTGCAATCAGTAGACGTGTCTGAGTTTCTCCTCCGCCTTCTGTCACCTGCACGTTTACCTGCGATCTCATTTCCTATGTGTGGACATTATTGAGTCTGCCACTGCCTTTTTTCAAAAAAGGCTTCTTTATTACAAAAGCAATGTACACCTATTATTTAAGTGTACACATTATTTAAGGACAGTAAGGAAAACGTTACCCATAATCTCATCATCCAAAGATAACTCCTGTTAACATCATGTTTCTTTCAGTTTCTCTAGGCATATTTATTTGTTTTATGAGAATTCTTACATAATTTACAACAATTTAAAGAAATACTTACCTGTTGTTTCCATACAGATAGAGTTCCAAATCCAAAAGAACTTTAAGGGCAATTAGCATCATTGGGAAATGCATGGAAGAAGCAGTCTGTAGAAACGGTTTGTTCAAACTGAAGGATAAGTACTTTGGATAACCTGACAAAAGAACAGAAAGAAATCCCCACATAGAATGAGATAATGATACCCAAAAGAATGCACATTGTGTTAAAGCATTTTCAAAAACTTTGAGTTACAGGTGCCATTTGAGATTCTGTCTAAACTTCACCCACAAAATCAATTAACAAGGGCAAATATTCAAAATAGTTATTTGGTAACATGATTTTTTAAGTCAAGTGAGCTTTTTAAAAAATGAAGCCTATTAAAAACCCACCTATGCGACAAAACCAAGTTCTACACACATAATATAAACTACTATTTCATGCAAATATATAAGTGGATTACTCATTAAGAATTTCCAAACACTGACTTTGAAATCCTTAAAACAGTTTGTGGTTGTGATCACGAAACTCTGACCCTAAATCACTACTGATTGTCTCAACATGAATGTCAATGTTATTTTAGTGCAGGCTGTTTAGCCTCCCAATGGGGACGTTCGGACTTGCTGTTTGTTTAGGACTTGCTGTAGTGTTGATAGGTACTCTCTGGCTGTGATGAAAATTATTGCTCTCCAGCATAGATATTTTCTCCCAAGTCTCAAAGGGACATAATCAGCTAAATTTCTCCCAGGGTTTGAATTATTTCTAAAGGAGAAGTGTTATTTTTAAAGGGTAATAGACTTTTGTTGGGAGTGATTTCAAAGGCTATGATATGTTCATGTAGCAAAAGGACTTGTGAAGCCACTTTTGTCAAAAAAACATCCTTCTGAGGTTGCCTAGGACAAAAAGAACTGTGCTCTCAATTTCAGAAATAACGAAAGGAAGCCAATTACTGAATAGTTATTCAGTAACAGATATAAATTAGCATAACAGGCTCTTGACTCAGAACCTCTTCATTAAAAAAAAAAAAAAAAAAAAAACATCGCGTTTCAACCTTAGTAACCAAATGGGGGAAAGTCTAACTTATCTCTGAGTAAAATGCCATAATGCTGCTTGCTTTACCAGATTGTTTAAGGATAAACAATCCTCAAACAGGGTCAGGTGAAGTGAACCCATCATGGAGCCTGCTGAGTGCTCAGGGTAAGGGTTTCCCTTTACCTGCACTACTCCTTCCCCTCCCTTATTAAAAGTCTTTTAAGTTGAGGCCTGAAGTGGAGGATCAATTTGTGGAAGCGACAGGAAGAGAGATATTCGTTTAGAGAAGAGAAAAGATATTGAAGAAAAAATACGGTGACACTGTTGCACCTATAAGTGGGCCAGGCAGCCTCACCAGCAAGGGGCTCCAATTCCCAAAGGTTCCCAAGCCAAAGTTAGGTCATGACTGTGAGAGATGCTGTAGACTAAATTCCCAGACGGTGTCTAGGAAGTATGCCAAAATGACAGGGAAGCTTTCTCCTGGCTCTGGTAATTGTAGGATTTATAAGGTGAAATATTATAGCTAGTAAGTATTCAACAAATCCTTCTGAAATGATGTTGGCCATATTAGGACTTTCAAAGATTGTCTTGTCTATCACATTAACTCTATTCCAAGATAAAAAAAAATCTGGAAGATCCTTCCCTGCTAAAGGCAGTCATTATCTTTATGCATAAATGACTATATATATATATATATATATATATATCTTTACATTAATACGACCTCCATATGGAGACAAAGAGGTTTCCCTAAATGACTAATGCTTTGTGAAAACAAGTGGTAATTGTTACAAACTTTGAAGTCTTAAAGATTAATGCCAAAGATGTCAGCATTCATCGTTCTGGAAATATGCAAACTTAATTTCCCTGTATCACCACAGACATAAGATTTTTTTTTAAGTGCTGTGATTATATTACTTGATACACCATAGGAGAATTAAGATTGAGTTTAGTAAATGAAATAATAAAAACTCTGAAAGATAATTAATTTGTTTGACAAATACTTACTGAGAATGTACTAGACACCAGACACTGAACAAAATACTAGAGTGGCTGGTAGAAGGGATTGGTGTTGGGGAATCGAAGGATAAATGGATAAGCAAGACAGACACAATCCTTGCCTTTACACTCTAGTAAAGAATTAAAGGAACAATTACAATAGAATAGCCTACTGTACCACAGAGCAGGCAGGAAGGGGCACTAATTTAATCTAGGAGCCTGAGGAGTTTTAGGTTGACAAAGAAGATGGCAATTACGAGAAATCGAAAAGACATTTAGAATGACCAAAAGTATTATGGCAAGAGATGAGACTAAAAAGTCAGTAGCAGCTCATGACAGTAGTGTAAGCTTTAGTAAGGAGCATATACTTTATCCAAAGGGCAGTGGGAAGCCATTGTTTGAAAGAAGAGTGGCATGATCATTATTTGGATGTTTCCTTTTTTTTTGAGATGGTCTCACTTTGTCACCCAGGCTGGAGGGCAGTGGCATGATCTTGGCTCACTGCAACCTCCACCTCCCAGGTTCAAGTGATTCTCCTGCCTCAGCCCCCCAAGTAGCTAGGATTACAAGCATGCAACACCATGCCTGGTTAATTTTTGCATTTTTAGAAGAGATGGAGGTTTCCTTATGTTGTGGCCAGGCTGGTCTCAAACTCTTGACCTCAAGTGATCTGCCTACCTTAGCCTCCCAAAGTACTAGGATTACAGCCATGAGCCACTGTGCCTGGCCCATACCTGGATTTTAAAAGATTTTTCCAGCTGCATAATGGAGAAGAGATTGTAGTAAAGACCTACAATGAGGATGGGGAAACCAGTTAGTAATTGATTAAAATCATTCAGGCAAGAGATGATGGTTGTCTAAACCAGCATGTGTCCATGGAGATGGGAAAGAAGAGGCTGGTTACAGAATTTCTTTTGAAAATACATTCAGAAAGATTTACTGGCTATGGGGAATGACCAGAAATCAAGGATAATTCCTAGATTTGTAGCTAGATATTTGGTTGGGTCATGGTGCCACTTCCTTGAGAATGAGAAATTGAGAGTAGAGGGGAGGAGAAGCAAGTTTATGGGAGGAAAATGATGAGTTCACTTTGGCGGTACTGAGTTATAGATGCTTAAGACTCCAAAGAGAAATTTTGTTTTAAATTATTTCCTTTGATTATATGAAGGGAAATTGTTGAGTTAACTTCTAGATATCTATTACAGACTTCTGAGTTAAGACCTGAGCTTCTTTAAGGGCTAAGAATTGGCAGGGAAAAAGAATTGGAGGAAGGGGCAGGAGACTGAGAAGTTAATTCATGTAACATGGTCCCTGGGAGGACAAGAGTAAGGGATCCACATACAGGTGGAGGGAATGACTTTGGATAAAGAAGACGACCACTTCTTTCAATGCAATAGCAGGAGACCCCCAAAAAAGGGCATCAATATAGGTAAATCTGTCATTTTTATGGAAGGAAGTCAAGGAAGTTTCTGTCTGGCAACTTTCATTTACTCTAAAAAGGAGACATGGTCATCTGCCAAAAGGTATGATGTTTATCAAGTTCTGAGGTTTATCAAGGAGAAAATGTACAAAAGCCATTGTGAAAATTGAAGGAACCAGAATTATGAGGATTATTTCTGTCAAGAGTAGAATGCTAATATTTCAATTCATCTGGGGTTTTAATCTTTTATTTTTATTTTTTGAGAGGAAGTTTAGTGTTCCTTGTTCTTTGGGCTATTGTATAATGTCCTGTTTCTAAAATTATTTCAGATAACTTCTGGAACAATGTATATGGGAACTATCCCCTGCATTGAAGGAGCAATTCTGAGTTTCTATTGTTATGGTCTAGTCACACTTTCCATATGTGTGAGCCTCAAAACTAAAACAAGGCTGGCATTTGTTAGGTGGTGTCCTCATCATGGCACAGATCCCAAATCCCATTTCACCTAGCTTTGCTTAGTGACGAGGACATTAAGATACCATTGGAAATGAAATAATAAGAGAAACAGGCAGGGTACGGTGGCTCAAGCCTCTAATCCCAACACTTTGGCGGGGGCGAGGTGAGTGGATCACTTGAGGTCAGGAGTTCAAGACCAGCCTGGCCGACGTTGTGAAACCCTGTCTCAAATAAAAATATAAAAATTAGCCAGGCATGGTGGTTCATGCCTGTAATCTCAGCTGCTTGGGAGGCTGAGGCAGGAGAATCACCTGAACCTGGGAGGTGGAGGCTGCAGGGAGTCAACATTCCACCACTGCACTCCAGCCTGGACAACAGAAAGAAATTCATTTCTCTTCCATCCTTTGACTTGATTCAAAATATTTTATTCTAGCAACTACCACCTGAGCTAACTTTCTTATGATCCCCACCTTTCCCACCAGGCTTTCTGCATCTCTGCCCTACCACTCATATTCTCCAATGCTCTCATTATCTGAGTCTCACTCTGTCACCCAGGCTGGAGTGCAGTGGCGTGATCTTGGCTCACTTCAACCTCTGCCCCCCAGTTTCAAGCAACTCTCCTACCTCAGCCTTTAGAGTAGCTGGGATTACAGGCATGCACCACCATGCCCAGCTAATTTTTGTATTTTTAGTAGAGATGGGGTTTCACCATGTTGTCCAGGCTGGTCCTGAACACCTGACCTCAAGCCGTCTGCCCACCTTGGCCTCCCAAAGTACTGGGATTGCAGACATGAGCCACTGGGCCCAGCCTTAGTTTACTCTTTATATTTGAAATTCTTTGGCTATTTCTGTGTTGATCTTCTTTCTGTTTAGATTTTCCTTCTCATTCCTTTTAAGTTCACTCCTCTGTTCCTTGAATATTTCTTTCTACTTTAGTTTCTTCTATCAGGTGTTCTTCCCAGCGTGCTCCACGGAAGTCATACTATCATCACTGTCAAACTTGCTCTATCACAAACCTGCTGGGATAGCACAAATATAAGAAATGGGCCCGGTGCTTACAGCAAAATTCATTCATTGTAAATGGACCACAACTCATGACATGAAGACTAAAGTCCCCCGTATTTATGGATGGTGAAGCAATATCTCCAAAGGTAATTTAACAATGACAGTAGGAATGAGCCAGGGTTAATGCTGTAATTTTCAACTCTAAAAATATTTTTTTGTCATTCTTGGATTGGATGTGTTTATTT